TTCACTGTTGCTGGGCAACCACTTAAAAAAACCAACTTGTGCTGCTCTCCCTTATCAGGGCTCTTTATTTTTAAACTAGACTTGGACAAAAGAGCCCTTCCAAGGGAAAGGAAATAGATGGCTGTCCATCGACAGGCCTTCAGATAACGGACTGCCCTCAGTGAAGTATAACACACAGGCTTGTTGAGCACACCCACTGGAATTAATGAATCCAAGTTAGTCAGGCTCATTAACTCTGAGAAGGACTAGCATTAGATGCCGCCCATAGTCACCCTAGCTGCCAACCTGATACATTTCAGTGTTTTCTGTGTTGCCATATTCCTCCCAAACCTGATCTATGGCAATTTTTTTTAAATTCTTTAAAAATCCTTAAAAAGCAGTTGTAGCAGCAGCCTATATAACGGCAAAACACGAGAGTAATTTTACAAGTGGGGACAGCAACAAAATGTTGCAGTGTGTGGCGTGCCCCATTCTTTGCCCCCTCCCACACATTTTCCTCCCCCTCTTCCAATAGGCAGGATTTCGCAGCTGCTGAGTAAGGGTGTGCTGACTTGAATAAAATATTGGCGGGACCCAAGTAAGCCCTGCCCCGCATAATTAATCACATCACATGACACGGTGGTCACACACCATTTAAATGGCAATGCCCATCAACTTGGGGGCACAGCCCCCCAAATATTGTTTGGGGCACGAAGGGACCTCAGAGTTGTCTCCCATTGCGGTGCATCCTGTTTTGCTGCCCGAGGTGAAACGGGAAGCTGTTGCCCTGCCCTAATGCCATCACACCGCCCTCTGCCAAAGCCCCTCTTACCTGGGTAGCACAGCACTGCCCACAAAGAAATGAGATCTCATGCAGCTCTCACAAGATCTTGCAGAGCACACAAGATATCATGGGATCTCACTAGAAATAACTGTGACATTTAGGACAATTTCCTTTGAAATGATTCTTGGTTTCAAATTCATCCACCTCCCCCAGTTATTGCGGGGAGGGTATTGCATGTGAATTACACCAAATTCACAATTCACAGGAAGTATTCTCACACAATGTCGTTTCATATGACATAGTTCTGAAACATCACCTATTAATGCTATTATTGTTTTTATTCACAGGTAGGACCGGGAGAGAGCTGCTGCCAGTCCGTGTAGAACAAGGGTGGGGAATCACAGGCATGGGGACAGAATGTGGTCCTCCAGAGCTTTCTATCTGGCCCTCAGAATTATCGCCAGGCCCTTCCTCGGCTCTGGTTTGCGCCCTCCTTGAATGATTTTGCTTGATTCGAATGTGTCTTTGAACTCTGATTATGCTTCTTGGTGCCAGGATAGATGGGTAGGTGTCAGTTTGCAGATTTTCTTTTTTAGAAGTCTTTGTGAAAATTTGGCCTTGTTTTAGAGTGACTTTCTCCTAATGTACACATTTCCCCCTATTATAAATGTACACATTTCCCCCTTGTTTTAGTGTGAATTTCTCCTAATGTACACCTTTCCCCCTATTATATTTTTTTCAAAGCACATTTCCCTGAATATTTATGCTTTTCTATGCACACTTTACCTTAGTATACATATTTTCAGAAATATTACTTTCCTGCAGAACTGCATTGCAAAATTTGGAGAAGTATGTATTGGTTTGCGGATTGTTTCAGAGAAGTGTAAATTGGGTAGTTTTGCCTTTAAACATGAAAGGAATCAAATTCCTCCCGCCATGCCTAAAACCAAATATATACACTGGTACCTCGGGTTACATACGCTTCAGGTTACATACGCTTCAGGTTACAGACTCCGCTAACCCAGAAATAGTGCTTCAGGTTAAGAACTTTGCTTCAGGATGAGAACAGAAATTGTGCTCCGGTGGCACGGCAGCAGCAGGAGGCCCCATTAGCTAAAGTGGTGCTTCAGGTTAAGAACAGTTTCAGGTTAAGAACAGACCTCCGGAACGAATTAAGTACTTAACCCAAGGTACCACTGTACACACAATTAATCAACAAAAATATAATCCCTCTATATAATTTAATTTGGAACCAATGAAAATCTCAAACAGATGTCAGTCAGGCCTGGCAGCATGGTGAGGTCAATAGCTTTTCACCTCTGTCTGGGTGAAATATTTCTCTTTCACTCAAAGGGAGGGCATAGTACTAGCCCCAGCTGCTTCAGAGGGCTAAGTCCCAACGCAAGGTCTTACTTAGTCCAATGCAAAATGCTGTGGGCAGTGACCTGGGCTAAACAGTCCATTCAAAAACAGAGTCCTACTCAAGACTGAGCAGAAGGTGTGTCAGCTCACACCAGAGATGCTTGGATCACCAAAGGGAGGAGGACAAACCTGCCACGGCAGTGATTTACTGCTATTCGTGCTCAATCCAGAAACAAGTAAATACCTAGAATGCTGCTAAGTCAGTCCCCTCTCAATCCAGCACAGTTTATTTGATTATGTTAAGAATTGCAGGGCTCAGGCTTACTTCACCTCATATGTGGGGGAACCTACAGATCTGATCAAAGCTGCCCATGTGGCAGAACCACCAAATAAAAAATCTAGTCATTTGGCTGTGCATGTGTGTTTTAATGGGCCTATGTGGAACTGAAGTTCCAGAAGCCAGTTTACATTGCAGCAGCAAAAAGATAAAAGTGCCAAAGCTCCACCGAGACTAATTCATGGCAGGCATAAGCAGCTGAAGACAGCTGCCTACTCTTCTTTAAACACACAAAAAGGCACCAATTAGATTAGGGAGCAGCAACTAGCAGCCCTGGGGCCAAATCTGCTCCCCTAAGGCTTCCAAACTGGCCTCCAGCACAGCCCTTGATCCTCCAGCATAGCCCTTGCCTCTCACCCTGCAGGCAGAGCATAACTATTGTCACTAACAGTCACTTGCGTGAATTTGTCCAATCCTCTTTTAAAGCCATGCAAGTTGACTGCCATCACTATCCAGTACAACCGCAAGGTCTTGTTTCGGGTCAGTCACTGCTAGATCAGACCCCTTGACTGTATTATTATTATTATCACCACCATCATCATCATCATCATCATCATCCAGAATGGACTCATTAAGACAGTTGGACAGTTCTAGCCAAGCTGGTGCCAAACATATTGCTCTTTTTTTGGAGCACATCAGCGAGGTCAATAGGGAGGTCTTGTTGTCTGGGCAGCCCAGGACCTCCAGACACACTGACTAGGCTAGCGCCTTGAGATCATTTTGCTGAGGGGTGGGTGCGGGGAAAGGCCCAACCATCGGCACAGAGTAATCCTTTGGGCATGCATAGGCTTGCCATACGTAAGGGAAATTCCTTACATGTCATTGTTTTGGAGGGGTAAAAATGGTGTCAGGGGCGATTTTTGTTGAATTGGCAAAATGCCATGGAAAACCCAGATGGATGGCAACACGGTGGAAAAAGCAGTGAAAAACAACTCAAAAAGCTTAAAAGCAGTATTTGGGGGTTAGGTTCCCAGCAGACAAAAAAAAGCTCAACAACTTGGATTTGTTCGCCCCACAAAAAAGACAAACAATTTTACTTTTAAAAATATGGCAACCCTAAGCATGCACTTAACCAGCCAGCTCCTTGGCAAAGCTTTGGCGAGCTTCCTGGCCCATATCCTACCCTTCGGCGCAGGATCGTAATTGAGAAAGGGGGCCTAGCAGGGTTTCCATCACACTGACACCGCCCCGCCCCCCAAATATTATAACAAGGACAATGCGGGAGGTTTCCTTTGAGCGCATGCAGAGCGCTCTCCCCTTTGATACTTGGAGGGGCAGAGGAGGCCAGGGAGCAAGAAAGGAGCGGGGCTGTGTCCGAAATTCAAAGAAGCAAGGGGTATTGCGGAGATGCCTCTGGGCGCGTGCAGAGTTCCTGCCTGCGCCCCTGGATAGAAGCGGGGAGGAGAAGGGGCGAGAGCAGCGAGCAGCCTAGAATCCCAGCACCTTCCCCGACCCGCGGGGCGAAGGGGCGGGCGCTGCGCGGCTCCGCCTCCTCCTCTTCTCCCGGGCCTTCCCTCCGCCAGCGCCGGCCTCCTCTTCCTCCTCCCTCTCGCCTGACGGCCGCGGCGGCTGCAAAAGGCATTTCCCTTTTTTTATTTTTTCAGCAGCCGCAAGTGAGGTGAGTCGCAGCCCCGCCAGCCCCCTCCCCCCGCGGGCCCCTCCGGCGCCCCCCTCCCGCCTCCCCGGGGGAGACCAGCCGGCCCCCTCGGCCGCCTCACCCCCCCGGGGGTGTCGGTGGGGCGCTGGCACGAGGGGGCGCGAGGAGAGCGGCGGGGGGAGGCTGCCTTCAGTCTGGGGCAGGGAGGGGGGCGCCTCCTTTGTGAGCCATCCTTTTCCCCCCACCTCAGAGTGGGGTGGGGGTTGCAAAGAGAAAAGGGGGTTGCTTTCCCCCCCCCCATTTATCAACAGCCTCCTTTTTATTCCTGGGCTTTATTATGAAGGGAAGGGGCATGTAGAGGAATCGAAAGAGACCCTCCCGCCCCACAGCCGCCCCAGATAACACTGTTTCTTCAAGGGGGGGGGAGAGAAGATGGTCAACCCTCTGGCCCTCCCCACGGGGGGGGGGCGGAATAGGTTTGAGAGTCTCCCCACCAACACTATGGGAAAAAACCCCATAGTAGCTGGGGTTGAGTGAGGATTTTTTTGTTTTGTTTTAGGGGATTTGGGAGGGGATGTTTTCTTAAGAAATTCTGTTGCTGAAGAAGGTTGGGTGCCCCCTTCTTTCCAAGCTCTGAATCTGGGGGCCGTAGGGTCCAGGATTTTGCTTTCCCCACAGCATGAGGGGAGGCATACAAATTAATAAATGATAATGATAACAACAACAACAACAAGTTGGGGTTTTTTTCTGGACGGGGTGGGGGTGGGTGACAGGAGTTCAGCCCCAAGGGCAGGTAGTTGGTTTCATAATTGGGAGAGCTTTAATAGTGCCTAAGGGTAGTGAGCTATAATATGCATTCATGGGATGCTGAGCCCTATGGAGTATTATTTGGTAGGGTGGGGGAGTTTGTTTATTTTGCATAGAGGGGGAATAGGTGGGCTCTGAGGGTATGTGTCTGGAGTGAGTTGGGGGACATTTTGGGGGTGTCTTTCTTGTATCTCATGGGCAGGCAGGTTATTTACCTGTGTGTATGGCTGTGGCTGTTTTGCGAAAGGCAACAGCCCACAGTGGCTGAGTTCACTCTTATTTGGTGGGGTCTTCCTGGCTTGCCTGTGCGTATGTACATTTTTTGTTGCAGAGTTTCTATGCCAGGTTGACATTCTTACATATCCTGGTGGGGAGGGGGATTTTTTGGACCCTCTGATCACTCCTCCCCTCTCCTGGGTAAATAGTTTTTGCTGAGAAAGAGCAGACCTGATGCCTATGAAAATTTGTGAGGAGTGGACCAGAACCAGGTGTCCACAGGCCTTTGGGAGAGCACATTTGCTTTCTGGTTCTGCTTGCTAGCTTCCCATTAGTTCATATGGTTGGCAGCTGCAAGAACAGGATGCTGGAGTATGATGGGCTTCTGGCTTGAACCAGTATTTCATGGAGGGGTAATTGTCTCCCACATTGCCTACTCTGGATAACTCTCTCCCTCTCCCTGTGTGTGTGCTGAAGGGGAGGGAGTCCCCATTACTGAGTCCTCTTGGCTGTTGACCCCACTATGAGGATTCTTTGGCTGTGGGTAGAGGTGGGTGGTTGTCCCAGAGATTCCTGCTATGAGGGAGAGAGCCTAAAGCCTCTTAAGTTAGCCTTTGCCACTCTGGTGCCCTCGAGACGTTTTAGACCAGGCATAGGCAAACTCTGGCCCTCCAGATGTTTGGGACTACAATTCCCATCATCCCTAGCTAACAGGACCAGTGGTCAGGGATGATGGAAATTGAAGTCCCAAACATCTGGAGGGCCGGAGTTTGCCTATGCCTGTTTCAGACCACAACTCCAATCAGTTAGCCTCAAGCATGAGAAGGGAGATTGACCTTAAGGAGAGTGGCAAGGCCTTTTGGCTTTTGCCCATTGAGTATCTTAGGAACAGTAGGCGTATTCAGAAAGCCTTCTCCATTTCCACCTGCATAAGGCACTCACTGTGGGGTTGGGGAGAGTCAGGAGGGTTATCCTAAGAATTGGTTGTGAGGAAATTATTATAGCTCACTTGTTCCTGGCAGAAGGACAAGTCGAGGTAAAAACAGGACAGATTGCAAGCCTTTCAGTTCTCAAAGCACTTATCCTGTATATATCTGTTCTTGAATATGGATGTAGCCTGAAAGTGAGCAAGTTCAGAGGGAGAGATACACAGTCTATGATGGGGCCAAAGTAGCCTGATCAATCAATGTTGGAGTAATATAATTAGTGTGTGTTCTTAAAGCTTTGGATGTTTACGGGAGTGGGAAATCCTTCAAAACCTCTTGCACAGCATAGGCAGAAGGGAGATTAGATTGTGTATTGCTACTAATTAATAATAACATTATTTAACAATAACAAAAGGCCAGCCTTGAGGATCAGCGGTTTCCTCATCAAGAGTTTGAGCAACAAGGAGTGTTTACATGTTGCTTTGGGTTATGACCTTAGATTAGAAGGATGACACATAAGCCTGGGTGTGTGTTCTCTCTCCCTGTTCAGGTCAAACTGCAGTAACGTTGTGACTCTGCTGTGTGATTACTGGGCCGTTCCTCTGCCTGGGCCAATGCTAGATCTGGAAGTGGTTCCCGAGCGATCTCTTGGGAATGAACAATGGGAATTCACCTTGGGTAAGTAACTTTGTTGCCTTTGTCAGCATCTTGTTTATAATGAGAAGTGATGGGTATATTGGGACAAAGGGACATTCCCTCCAGTGTTGTTCTGAGAGTTAAATTTAGGCGAGTATAAACCTCTAACATGTTGGAAGCATATGATGTTAATTTCAAGGAAGGAATTATTTTGAGAGACATACTGAACATTACACTGAATGTGGTAGACTGAGAGGGTAATATTCTGGGCTGTACAGCTTCTTCCTCATATAGAAAGCTCTGAATGTGGTAAGTTAGCACCCCAAGAGAGAACACTATGCTAAATTTTTCTTCACTGAGGTGCTAATGCTACTTACTACATACTAGCTTACTACATGTAAGGATTTTTACTGTATTATGAGTATTAAAAATAGGGCTTCACACCTGAACTCTTCGAAAGAGATTGTGTCCAGAATTACCTTCCACGTTATTTGTCAAATGAGTTTACCCACAGATGCTTCTGTGGCTGCCCTTAAACGGGTTCATGTTTTGTTTATGCTTTGCTTTGGCACTTCCTCCTCAAGTAATTCTAGCATGTTTAGCAACAGCCATCAGGAGTCACATGGTTATTGCTCAGAACAGCATTTAGCCTTGCTGGAAGCTGGGTGCGTGAAAGGTGCAGAGTATTTTTCCAGACAAAGATTTTTGCCCACAATACTAATTTGAATGATGGTTTTAAATGCTGTGGTGCTATTTAGAAGAATAATTTAAACAAGTTTTTAAAGCAGGTAGTTGAACCTGGAGTTGCCTCCAATGAGAGAGAGGACTAATTGATGTGATTTTTTAATTATTTGTTGTGACCTGCCTTAGAAACCTGTATGGAAAGCAATAATCAAATGTTTTGAATTGATTTATTTTCTCGGATCACTTCCTCTGCATCAGTCTATGCTGCATAGTGGACAGAGTGTTGGATTTGGGTGCAGGAGAAAGGAGTTCACATTTCCCCATGTCTGGGTGATCTTAGGTTGGAAAATAATGACTGGTGCATCTAGCCTTACAGGATGGCTGTTTTCAGTGCTGCTTTTTTTCTAAAAAAAAATGTTTAGGGGCACTCTCATTTTGACTCAAGAAAAATCACAATTTTATAGTTCAATTGTAATTTTATAGTACCCCTACATCCCCCCAGAAAAGAAGCACTGGCTGTTTTAAGGATAACATGGAATAATCCTGTGTACACCACCCTAAGCTATTTGGAGGAAAGGCAGAAGCAAATGTAATCAATAGAACAATCTATAGCTAACTGAAGAATCCTTTATACTATTGTCTTGGTTTCTGTAGTAGATTTGCATTACCAGACTTTCATATTATACAGGATGTTTTCCAACAGTGTGCTGCATCCAACATCTGGTGATAGTGGTAATGAAAGCCTTAAATGAAGGCATGGTGCTGTTTTACTGAGCTCTGTAAAAATTTGTTTCAGAACTAATATGAAATGCCAATAACCCTTTGTGTGTTTTTAGCTCCTTGTGTTGCTTCAGATTAATAGGGTTTTACTAGGAATTTAAAACTTTGAGCAAACAAAGTTGATATGCTGAAGGATGGCTGTATGTTGTTGGGCCCACAGATAAGTGTATAAATGTAAGCTGGCGTATAGATTATGCATATGTGAGGCAGTTTACTGTGTATAGTTTCTTCTCCAGACAGCAGACTTTTACACACTCACCCACTGTCACCCACTCACTCACACCCAACCCAGTTGTACTACATGGGGAAACCAGTCTCTGCATGTTACTTGTGTTTAGTTATCGTTTATACACAATTTTACACCTCAGTACTAGGGCTTGCCAATTTGAAGGTTGGTGGTTCGAATCCCCGTGATGGGGTGAGCTCCTGTTGCTCGGTCCCAGCTCCTGCCAGCTTAGCAGTTCGAAAGCATGTCAAAGTGCAAGTAGATAAATAGGTATTGCTCCAGCGGGAAGGTAAATGGTGTTTCCATGTGCTGCTCTGGTTTCGCCAGAAGCGGCCTGGTCATGCTGGCCACATGACCCGGAAAAACTGTCTGCGGACAAACGTCGGCTCCCCCAGCCAGAGTTGTGCGCGACTGGACTTAACTGACAGGGGTCCTTTACCGTTACCTTTTGCATACTTCGCAGAGTAATACCAGGTCTGATTCCCAAATATTCCAGGCATTCTGTGGTGATGGGATATCAGGAGCTGAGATCTCTGCAGTTTTTGGCCCAGATCAGGAATAATGGTCTTGGTCCAATAAACCATGGTTTATAGACTAAGAATGAGCAGGGTGCCCACATTCTCCTCCTTTTTCTGATGCAGTGTAATGAAAAACTTCCAGGGTTTTTGAAAAACACAGTTGCCTATTACATCTGGACAGAGAAAGTGTGGTTTAATCTCCAGCAGGAAACTGTGTTTTAATAAAAGTAAGGAAATTTTCCATTACAGTGTGCAGTACAAGGGAGGGAGGAGAGTAGACAGCATGTAGGAACTATGCTTATTCTTGGTCCAATGAACTATGATTTATTGGACAAAGCCTTTGTGTTTCAAAGCCAGTGCATTGTTTGCTCCACATCCTAATGCTTAGAGGGATTTTGAAGAGATAGCAGCAAATGGTTCGGGTAAGAAGAGGAGGATTTGTATACCAGCAGTACCATCAGAGAAAAAAGGCTCCATATCTTCACATTGTCCCTGTTCAGACATCACACTAGACCGCAGCTTAAAGCATGACATGAATGAGCTTGGGTGAGCCTTGGGCTCACATGCTCCCACCCCACTTTTTTACCTCCTAGAGTAGCTGTGAGTAGTTGGGAAGTTCTTGCTTCCATTTTTGCTTACCTACACCTTGCTCTTTCATTCAAATAATCAAACTGTAGATAATGCTAACAATAGTTTGTTTGATACTTAGTTATCTTGAAACTTTTGTTTCATAGTGAAGATTATGTGGGATTGGCCTATTTGAACAGGAATAGTGTATCCAGAGTTGAGTAGATGGGTAGGGGGAGTATTTTTAAGATCTATAGGGTTGTAGCAAATGTTAGTTCCACTCAGAGTACTCCTGTTAAAATTACGGGACCTAAGTTAATCATGCCCATTAATTTCAGTTGGTCTACTCGTAGTAGAACTAATATTGGCTATAACCCATTATCTAGATTCTTATTCTAGTTACAAAACATTCTTGGACTAAGGCTGCTTTGGGTGTTCAGAGATGCATGTTGTCAAATGTACACCGTATGCAGAGGTTATGCATTTGTGCTTAGATCTTAATGTGAAATGGTGGTTCTGGACCAGCTTTACTTGCTGGACAACTTTTTTTTAGTGGCATCCATTATATTGTTGAAGTGTGTATTTGGTACAGCTCGTTCCTTTCCTACTTCAACTCTTTATGACCTTTGCAGGTCATCACGTAGTTTTGTTATTTGAAGTGAATAATTATTTATATGTATGTAAGATATATCTTCAATAGATTTTGACTTCAATTGAATTCTGTACGTACATAGCTACCAGTCCCAGCTTGTTTACCTTTGTTTGCTTTTCCTAAAAGCAAATAAATAAATGAAAGATGATTGGCACTTGTCTGTTATTGGGGTGCATCATCTTAGTTGTCATTATCCTTTTAAATAATGTTCCAAAATCCACATTAGGGCAATACAGTCATACCTCGGGTTGAAGTAACCTCGGGATAAGTATTTTCGGGTTGCACGCTGCAGCGACCCGGAAGTAACAGAGCGCATTACTTCTGGGTTTAACTGCTCGCACATGTGCAGACGGTCAAAATGATGTCACGCGCATGCGCGGAAGCAGCAAATCGCGACCTGCGGATGCGGGTTGCGTTCGCTTCTGGATGCGAACGGGGCTCCAGAATGGATCCCACTCGCATCCAGAGGTACCACTGTATTAAAATATCACATAATAGTAGTGTGCAAGCTTTGCATGCCATAATTAGGTATTGCCCTAGTATGGATTTTGGATTATTGTCTTATGAGCCAATATCACTGCCTTTGCTCTTTAGCTAATGTTGGCTGAAAGAATATGAATTCTTCATCCTTTCATCTCATTACTTAGTATGTTTGCTCACAAGCGGTTTTCGTGTATCAACCTGTTTTTGGTTTTTGTTTCATTTAATTATTGTCATTGTTGATGGATCACTTTAGTTCTAAACCAGTTGCAGCCACATGTGAAATCTTTCTGTTGTTGCAGCATCTGCAGTGGACTATTTTATCATGTTGCTACCTTGGCAGACAACTGCAAATACATTGCTGTCCATCTCAAACATTTTAGCAATGTGGTGATGATGATAAATTCTTTCTGCAGAGCAATGTTGTTCTGTGGCATTCTAAATGCTGGCAATGAATCTCCTCTGGGATTCCCCAAGTAGCTAGTGGGACTGATCCATTAGTAATTCTTCCTGAATTCCTCTGGAGTAGCTGATACTCCACTGGTTTTGATCTCTGGCTTGTTGTATAACCAAGATGTAGCTAGATCTGTGCCTGAACATTCATCTTCGTGTTAAATATACCAGTGTTGCAGTTTCTGTAAGATCAAACTTTCCTAAAACCATGCCTCCTGCAAATAGGGAAATATAGTTGCTTTTTCTTTTGGAGAGTCCATGGTGCTCTAAATTTCCAATAAGCTTTCCATTTGTAACTCTTGAATTAATTTCCATCACTTGTGCCTTGTTATGCAGCACTCCTTCTCACTTCATTTATGTTCCTACTCCCTCACTGTCCTTTACAAAACTGTATAATGAATGCTAAATAGTAAGAGGACTCAAATTTAGACCAATTGGTGGCCTAGAAGACACCTACCATTCTTTTTCTGAAGCTAAGGGTGTTTGACTCTGGACAGTGAATGAATGGCAGTCTGCTTAAGAACCTCATGCCAGCTCCTAAAGGCTCCTAGATAGAAGAGCATAAATAACGCAGGAGAAAATTTAAACCCAGAGCCTGGGAAGAGCTATTGAAAGGATAGGATACTGGCCTACTAGTTGCCCATGTCAATTATATATATTTATATACTTTCTTATATATGATTACAAATAAAGAAGTATTTAACAACTTTTCTTTATATTCTGCAAATAAAAATTATACAGTTATACATGCTTTTCAAATAAATATAAATAAATATTTTTTGAAGAATCCACTGTAGTATGCCAGAAATTAATGAAGGTCTCCCAATCCATCTTTTTGAATGATTTGTTTAAAAAGCCAGTGTTGAGTGATAATCCCACACACATCTGTAGCACAGGAGGAATGGAATTCTCAACAGCCAGTTCCCAGCAGTGTTACCTTTGGTTTGACTAGGAATCTGAACCCAGGATAGAGTAATGTAGTAATCTTGGTTCTTGGGGGTAGGGTGACTGGCGTCCCATCCCACCCCCCACCCCCCGCAAACACACTCAGATGGTGCCTGAGCACATTGCTTTAGTTTCTCCTGCATAAATGAATGGTCATTCCTTACTATGAGGAAAGGACTCAGCACTGCACTTAGGAGGAGTGATGTGAAGGCAAAACCTCACCTTCCACCTTTGGCCCTCAGGGATGGAAATCCCAACCACACACACTTCACTTGGCTCTCAGTCTAAGCATCTTCGTTCCTCTTTTCATATTATGGGTTTGAAAAAATGATCCCATTCCTTGGATTATTACACAGTCACTTGATAAGCAAGAGATATTGAGCTGAGTGCGGATAGGTTACCTAGCACTGTTAGAATTCTGTTGCTAGATCAGCTGGCATGAGCTTATTGACAATTCGCACACAGCTGAAAAAGAAGAAAAACATACACAAGTTTGGGTCTCATGGAGTCCCGAATTTATGCCAGTGTGGTGTAGTGGTTAAGAGCGGTAGTCTCGTAATCTGGGGAACTGGGTTTGCTTCTCTGCTCCTCCACATGCAGCTGCTGGGTGACCTTGCGCTAGTCACACTTCTTTGAAGTCTCTCAGCCCCACTCACCTCACAGAGTGTTTGTTGTGGGGGAGGAAGGGAAAGGAGATTGTTAGCCGCTCTGAGACTCCTTAAAGGGAGTGAAAGGCGGGATATCAAATCCAAACTCCTCCTCTTCTTCTTATCAAGAAATTTATTTGCCCACCAAGAAGTAATTGAAGGATCAATGTTGCATCAAATATTTCTGTTCTTTATATTCTGTTTTTTACCTCATAGATCAGCCCTCTCCAACCAGGTGCTCTCTGGATATTTTGGACTATAATTCCCATAATCCCTGACCATTGACTATGGTGGTTGAGGCCAATTGGAAACATAGTCCAAAATATCTAGAGGGCCCCAGGTTAGAGTAGACTGCCATAGACTTTTAAGCAATTCAGCTCCAGAGATGTTTGAACATTAAGAAGAGGGTTCATTTTCAGATTCAGAGGATACCTTATCCAAATGACTCAGAGCAGGTAAATACAATTGCACATTGGTCACATAATAATAACTCTAGAACTTCTTCCTTTTCCTTACTCTCCTCTTTTCAACAAACTCGTTATAAGCACTGAAGATCTGGGATGACTCTGCTGCCAATATAGTAGTATCATAGTAACTTCTAGCTTCTGTGCATGTTATGTGTGATATCCAACATGAGTCATACTCAAGAATAAAGCCACTAAAATCAGTGGCCTTAAGAAATTCAAGTCTGTTGATTTCATTGGTTCTGTGTGAGTACGAATTAGTTGGATAGCACCCTGCATTTAAGTATATGTGTCTTGGCTTAAGTGTATACCTAAAATTGCAAAGTATGAATGCTTTAAGCAAATGTTTGAAAACTCATGTACCAGTACAACTTTCAGAGAACTGGTGAGGGTATACTTGCTAGTAATGTATGAAATGGTCCCAGTGAACTTTTAATTTGAGGAAGAAGAAAGCTGTGAATGTGTAGTTCAGACATGCTTATAAGTTTAAGAAATGAGGGATTAGAGTTAGGAAGTAAGGATTCTGGGCAAAACGAAACAGAATAAATGTATGGATATAAACAGGATTACCATCCTTACATGTACTGAATACAGTGAAGTGATGTAAAACTGTATTTGATTTAATGTGTGATTTCATGCTCCCGTGTTAGCAATGCTGTCTCATGTCTAGCTTCTTAGAAAACAGTCTGGCATAGCGGCTTAACATGGCGGTTTCTGTTCTGAAATCACAGGTTTCTTCTAATTTGACAAGAGACTAAGTTTAGTCACTGGCTGGAAATGCTTGTGGTGTTCAACTTGTTGTTCTTGGCCACTGAGCCAGTACTGCCACATGTTGACCCTGTTGAGCAAACACATTTTTGCCAACATGGCTAAGTGGGAGCAACGTCTCTAACTCTTGTTGTTTTTCTCCTTGCAGGAATGCCATTGGCTCAGGCTGTAGCAATTCTTCAGAAACACTGTCGTATCATAAAAAATGTCCAGGTTCTCTACAGTGAACAGGTAAGTTTGCTTGCTTCAAAGTATTCTGTATGTTTAATTGCACAGAAAGGATGGGGAGATATGTAAATATTGTGTAATGTCATTGTGTTTGTTGCCTAGCCACATGCCATCCAGTCATCCTTTACGGCTGCCACATCCTGGAGGACGTGGCTTTCTAAAAATAGCATGCTTTTTCAGATACACACACACACACACACGTATACATTTAAAAAATAATTGACAGTATTTGTTTCTTGTCTAGACATTTTCTTTTGTGACTTGATGTTGTTGCCGCTTGCGGTTTTAAGTGACCGATCAAAATACAGCTTTTCACAAAAGCTGTATTCTGCTGTAAGAGAGGGAAGTTTACAAAATTGATGTGTTGGGAAAGAAAGGTTGCAAAGTCTCCCTCTTAATCAGAAAGAGATGGCAAAAGATTAAAGATACTTGTGCTGTTCTAGAAATTGAACTGTTGAAAGCACCATGAGTGGTTGTTGTGATTGTTTTGGTTGCTGGTTTCTGTCCCTGTATCTTACTGGACAGCCAACAGTATTTGAAACTAGTCAAAAGCAAGTTTAGTCCTAATGTTGAAATAGGTAAGTGAAGTCTTGCTATAATAAGGAGGAGTGCATCTGAAATGCTACCCCTTCTCTCCAGTGTGCTCTAGAAAATTCAGGCTATTATTATAGTAGCACTCTTGCTATTGAAATCAGATATGCACCTGCAATTGTGATATTTTGTCACCTGCTGAAAACTTCTGTTTAGCCAAGCAGCATCAAAAAATTAATATGATTCGGTGTTGGTCATGTGTTCTGTATTTTATGATCTAATAATTTTATGATGTTTTAATGCTTTTGTTGTACACTGCCATATTTTTAATGAAAGATTCTAAGTAATAACTCAAAATAAAAGCAGGTGCTGTAATTTAAAGTTTATAGATATTTTAATTGTGCTGCTGTTGCATGATTAAAAGTTCAGTTAGTGTTACAGTAATCTGCTCTGTTAATTCCTCCTATTTTACTGGTCTGCAGCAAAAAAGCAGAACAGTATAGTTCATGAGCATATAAACATTGCACTTTTGCATCTCAGTAATTTTGTCTGGAGGGGAAATGGTGAGAATTATGTGTGTTTGTGTGTGTACACACACATGCACACAGACAACTGCCCATTGCTAAGTCTTGCTAAATGTACTGTACTTTCTATGAAGAAGCAGATGAAAATAGTTTATATTCTTATTATAGCCTCAGCCTTCAATTTGTATTAAAATCCTCAATATCTGAGTGATTTGTCTGGCCAGTGTGTAACAATTACTAGCATAATTGTGAGTAAATCCTGACCTTTTGGCTCTCTGCCATGTACATACTCTCTTAATTAAATGCGTCTGTTCTCTTTTACTCCAGGTTACATGGATTTATGGCTTCCATAATGGCTTTATTTATTTTGCAAATGAGAAAAGCACCCTGTTGACAATTATTCATGTGATCATATTTATTTATTTATTTTGTTTCATTTATTGTTTGTACTTACACACCCCACCCTTCACCAAATGGTCCCAAGGCAGGTTACAAAAATATCACAATTATAATAAGTGCAATGTACACTTAAAATCATTAAAACCACAAAAACAACCAATATCAAAATAATAAAGCACAGAACAGTGCATAACAATCCAGGAGGAGGAAAGAAAGCCACTCCAGTCTTGGGTAAAGAGGCTGCTGGAATTGTAGAAGTATTTTGAATGTCTCAAATTTTAACATATTTTTGGGTATCTGTTTGGTTCACCAGAGTTTTATTGCACTATAGTTATATGAAGTAGTTTTGAGTTTTAAAATGATGATAACTTTTGATTATTGTGTAGTGATCATTCATGTTATGCAACCTTGCCCGACTTCATGTGCTCCAATTGTGCCGCCTGGGGCTAACGGGAGTAGTCAAAAACAGCTGGAGGGCACCAGGTTGGGGAAGGCTGATGTAATGTGTCTTTAAATTGCAGCTTCTTGCTCTGGCTTATATTGCATCTCAAAGGAATTTGGTTCACTATGACATCCCCACTTTTCTGCCTGATGCCATATGAGAATGAATTGGTTTAAATCAGCAAGTGGGGAGGGGGGAAGGCTCGTTTAAATCAAGTTTCCCATTGATACCACTTCATATACCGTATTTTTCACTCTATAACACGCACCCGACCATAACACGCACGTAGTTTTCAGAGGAGGAAAACAAGAAAAAAAATATTCTAAACGAAACAGTGGATGTATGATTTTTGTGGTTCATGCTGTGGCCACAGACATGTGATCTGACAGTGAGTTTGGAGTAGCCCAATGCAAAAATCCTGAGGATCCATGTGGATCCTTGCTTTGTAACCACGTTTTAAGTGGGTTGGGAAGGAAAAGCACTCAAGGGACAAGGAGCATGCGTGGGGTGTGTGGAGAAGGATGCTGCTAATAATGCAGGAGAGGGGTATAAGGGGAGAAGGCTCCTCTCCTCTCCCACTTTGCTCCTTTAAAGCAAGCAGGCTCTGCTTTTCTCCCTCCTCCCCGCTCATCCCCGGCTTAGTGAGCTGAAAAACTTTGCTGCTATGTAGCGAGCTGAGTGGGGAGGAGAGGGGGACAGAGAGCCTGCTTGCTTTAAAGGAACCAACCGGACAGGAGCCGCTTACTCATGTAAGCGGCTCCTCTCCTCTCCTGCTTTGCACCTTTAAAGAAGCAGGCTCTTTGTCCCTCTCTCCTCCCCACTCAGCGGCTCTTCTCCCGCTTTGCTGTTTCAAAGCGAGCCACGGAGGAGGGAAGGAAGGGGAACCATGGATCCTCTGCTCAGGACTGCAGCAGATCCCCCCGCCACCCGTAGGCATTCCCTCCATAACACGCACAGACATTTCCCCTTACTTTCTAGGCGGAAAAATTGAGTGCTATGGTGCAAAAAATACAGTACTTCCCAATAGTGGTGGAGATCCAAAATCTGCAAGTCTGCAAATCTATATCTATAAATATTCATATCTGAGAAAGATCAAATCTGGTTGATCACTTTGAGAATAAGACACTGAACTGGATGGGCCATTGGCCTGATCCAGCAGGCTCTTCTTATGTTCTTATGTGTCCTTCACTTACATATAAGTGACTCCTTTAACCCACTGCTTTAAGAGAGCAGTCCTATAGCAAGATCTGCCAGGGTGACTGGGAGAAGGATCAAGTGGATCTCTGGCTCTGCTGGGAGGTTCCTGGTGCAGCCAAGCTACGTTGGCATGATTTCCCATCCGTGGCTCAGCTGGAAATACACCACTGCATTTCCCCCACCCCGGTTGGCTGAGCCAAGCCTGGCGAATCGTCAGCCATGAAAAGGAGGCATTGCAGGTGTGTGGTGGGGGTGGGACCAGAGAAATAGAAATATAGAAATATTTCCTCATATTACTATCCCCCCTCCCCAGTATTGTTACTCATACCCAACGTGGTGGAAATTCCAGACCTTCAAGAATAAGAGTGTTAGTACCAAGGATATAACATCATTTGCAGCTTGTTGATACAGTCAAAGTGGTTCTGAGAGTGGTTCTGATGGTATTTTTCCCCTCAAGAAGAGATTGGAAGCAGGTGTCCCATTGTGAGGACAAGCAAAATAGCAGAGCAGGGTGATCCCATGTTGCTGCTGGTTTTAAATAGGGTGCCTCCCATTTACTTTTCTCTAAGAGAAGAGGAACTGATAGGGAGCAACTCAAGTCTTTAAATGGAAACTAGGAGACTGCTTTTCTGCTGACTGTTTAGAGATCACTCGGCACTTTTGAGGGAACTTGGCACTTTCGGCAAACTGAGATGACAGCCCAGTGATTGTTTACATGATCTCTTAACTAGGGATAAAACAGGTGAAAGAGAAGAGTGTCAAACTCTTGACTTTGCAAGGGCTGCTGAGTCAATCAGCCCGAGTTTCTCTTCACTTTTCCCCCCCAAGTGGAGGTTCGAGTGGTTGTTTATCCTACACTGTGCTCACTGAAGTTAAGGTAACCTTAGTAATCTGATCTTGTAGCAGTTTGTAAGAAACTTTACTGTCTTGGAGGAGGAGGAAGTAGACTGTGAGTGTTGCTTAAACCTCACTATTGCTATTTGTACAGTATAACCCTTCCTGGCCATTTTAACTCTAGGAGGTTTTGCAACTTCCTGCTTTTTTCACCATATCCAGACTGGGAGTCGCATCTGCACTGCCATGACAGTGACTCTCTAGACTGCTGGCTGTGTTGATTGCATCATTTTGGCCGTGCAGTTGTTGAGACAATGGCACTTATGGTGGTGGCTACAGCAGTGGCTCAGCTTCCTGTCTCTGGAGTCCTGTTGGCCTCTGATCATATTTGGGCCTGGCACCTTGACTTGCCTCTGGCTAGTAAGAATTACCTCTGGTAAGCACACAGGGAAGGCTGTATCTGTTTTTCGTGAGAACTAGAAATATCTTTCTTAGAAACGCACTGTCAGGTTTCATTTTTAATATCATGAGGAGTTCGATATCTAACTCCCATTCATTCCTTTGGAATATTCCCCCATTTTCATTGACACACTTGAAGTTCTGTTTATGCTTCAGAAGATATACTTGTTTCTTTTTGGAATCAGTTTTTGCCTGACTGCAGTATTTGCTGAAGGAGGAAAATAAGCTTTAGGCAAAGCTTTAGATCAAACAATCCTTCAGATCTCTTCTGCTATCCTTGAGGAGATTTTCAGACCTGGCATAAATTCATAAACATTCTGTACAGGAGCCTTCTAACAAGGCTTGCGTCATCAGTACTTAGCCCTGTTGCCTGCTAATATTTTTCCTGCATCTAGTCTAGTGCTGTTGAGATGCTTGTTGACAGTTCTCATTGCTTGGAGAGAATTGCTTCTGTTTCTTCATAAACATGCAAAGCAAGAATAGTTCCCGAAAAAGGGCATTCTCTTGGTATTCACAAGAACTCCCATAGGAAAAAAAAATACATATTTGTTTTTAGTTTCATTCTACAATCTAAAATGTATCCATAATATTATTCTTTATTTCAACAGATACAGTAATTATAACATCAAATGGTAGTATGTTTTCTTGCTTTTAGGAGAGAGAAAAAGCAGGGGACTGCTTTTAGGGCTGGCCTGAAAGCTGCAGCTAGTATAGCATGCAGTGACTTGGCTATTCACTGAAGTAGCTTATCACAAGTAGATCACATCACTTCCAAAGGAGCTACACTGGCTACCAATTAGCTACCAGGCCAGCTTTTAATATTTCGATTTTGGCCTATAAAGCCCTTAACAGCTTTGCTAACGGTATACAGCAATAGGATGGATGCTTTATGCTTGAGCTTTGTTCATTTAATAATTGGCACCTGCATGCATGAAATTATTCTGTTGAAACACATTGTGGTTTGATGTGATGTGACATTTCTGTTGGTGGTGGCAGAACTGTCATGGCTCATCCCAGGGTCATTCCCCATTTGGCCATGAAGCTAACTGAGTCACCTTGGGCAAGTCGCTTTCTCTCAGCCTATCCTGCCTCACAAGGTCCATTCAAATCTAAGAAGTGCATGATGCCTTTGGTACCTTTATTAGCTAGAACATGTTGGTGGTGCAGACCAGGGGTGCTCTGCCTTTCTTTTTCCTCAAATCACTAATTTTCATTTGTGCTAAGACTGTGGCAAACACTCTTTCCTCTTTGCTGTTCAGGCTGAGTGAGCCACAAATGCCATATTTTGATTCATTCCTTCCATGAAAGCACTGGGCTTCTAATTCAAGTGGCATGTGAATCTTGAGCCCTTTAGTTTCATTTCAATGGGCAAATGGGAGGGGATTTGGCAGCAGCAGCTTTTATTCCAGCCATGTTCATGGAACAATGAACTGTTCCCTCTGCCAGCTGGGAGAAACCAGTGTCAAGGTTCTTTTTCCTTGGCTTTCCATCGTAGGAGAGCGTAACTTCACAAATAACCCAGCTGCCACCAACTAATTTCTCTCTTTTTGTTTTCTAGTCTCCTCTTAGCCATGACCTCATCCTTAACCTGACTCAGGACGGAATCAAACTGCTGTTTGATGCTTTCAATCAAAGACTCAAGGTAAAAACATGATTTGAGAAATGCAACTCTGCTTCTGCTCCCCCCACCTGAGGCTTAAATGTGCATGCATGCACTCCCAAAATGATACCAACAGTGTTCTGACTAACAACTGTGGGACTGTATCCCCATGGCAACTGCTTATGTCATTTATTTAGGTCTTGTGTGTGATGATTGTCTGAATATAGTGAACTGATTTTTTGTTGAAGTGTGATGATGGCATTATAAACTTACATTATTATTATTATTGTTTTATCTATTTATCTTGCCCTGAATAATGTAATTGTATTTAGGTAATGTGCCAGTGGAAAGGCGATCATAGCTCAGGGAACAGAACACTAGTTTTGAATATATGAGGTGTCAGATACAATGCCTGGCATTCTTCATGTCCTGGATAGCATTATCGCTTTGTTAGGAAGAGGCCTACCAAATATTAGGTAAAGGTAAAGGGACCTCTGACCGTTAGGTCCAGTCGTGGACGACTCTGGGGTTGCAGCGCTCATCTCGCTTTACTTGCCAAGGGAGCCGGCATACAGCTTCTGGGTCATGTGGCCAGCATGACTAAGCCGCTTCTGGCGAACCAGAGCAGCGCATGGAAATGCTGTTTACCTTCCCGCTGGAGCGGCACCTATTTATCTACTTGCACTTTGATGTGCTTTCGAACTGCTAAGTTGGCAGGAGCAGGGACCGAGCAACAGAAGCTCACCCCGTTGCGGGGTTTCGAACTGCCGACCTTCTGATCAGCAAGCCCTAGGCTCTGTGGTTTAGACTACAGCGCCACCTGTGTCCCTACCAAATATCAAAATGTGTATAAATGGGGTGTGTGCCAGCTCTGACTTCCCTTTGCAGCCTCCTCTACCTACCCTTTATTTCCTCTCTCTGCTCTCTCTTTCCCGAACTGCCTGTCCATGTTCACTGCCTCATTTGCACAACACCTTGGGCATTTTTCTGCACCCTACCCCTAGTCCTGTTCATCTTTAGTCTGCCTTGGTCAGACCCCACCTGAGGTTTTTAAACAGAGGTTGGTTGACCATCTTGTCAGGGATTCTTTAGCTGTGTTTCCTGTAGGGGGTTGGACTAGATGACCCTTGGGGTGTCTTCCAATACTGCTGTTTGATGGTTCTATTATTCCTAGATCTCTGTTTTATTTATTTAAATATGTTACCACTATTTTATAAATACGTTGTTGTTGTTAAAATTTGTGTACCACCCTATACCTGCAGGTCTCAGGGTGTTTCACAAGACAAAATCACAATATAAAAACACAAAATACATAGCTGTAGAGATGTTAAGAGACTAGTGGCCTAAACACAGCTCAAGAACACGCTCAGGAAAAAGCAGTTTTAGAGAGCACACAGTGGAATAGAGTGTTTGTATGAGCTAAGTGATCACCATACCAGTCCCTTTCTCTCATTATTTTAGCCCTTATCTTGGCGCTCTTTGTTCTTTTCCTTATGTCATATTGAATCATCAGTTTATGAAGAAATGTTAGCTGAAAGTTGTAGATGACTGTAATTCTTGTTGAAGGGGAAAAAGGCATACTCCCCCCCCCCAAGCTGGATAACCAGTCCTATTTCCCATCTACAAGTTCTGTTTCTCTCTCTCTCTCTCTCTCTCTCACACACACACACACACAGAGAGAGAGAGAGAGAGAGAGAGAGAGAGAGAGAGAGAGACCAACCTAACACACATCTGTCCATCTCTCTGCCTAAGTGCATCTCTCTGAATCACATACAACCTTTTCATAGGAAATGCTCACTACCAGCTTCATGTAGCCAGGAAACCAGCAAACCGGACCAGCTACTCAGCAGGGAAGCCATCCATGCCACTTCCTTTCAAAACAACCAGAATGTAAAGGGATGGACCCTTCCAGTTCTGGCAACTGCTCTGCACTGTTCTACCTTCCACCTGTCTGCCCCTCCCCCACACCATGGGTTGTCAACCCCATGGGCGCCAGGAAAGGCCATTGTGGGTGCCGCAGGCACTGGGGTGGCAATGCCCACACTACATGTTTGCTTTTTCTTGCACAAATGAAGTATTAATATGATTAGCATACTTGTTATTCTTCCCCCTAAACCAAATTCTAGCCACAGAAATTACATGGTGCTACCTTCTGTTTCATTTTTTTTCTTTTCATTTTTTTTCTTAAAAAGAGCAGCATTAAGTCATTGAGTGTTCTTTCATTGAAACTGTCAAGAAACGCTTTTCACTGACAGTGGTTTCCCCCCACTCCCTGGTTTTGCCCGCACATTAATTTGCTTAGTTCCCCTCTCTTTTTAATGAGAGGCTTTTCTTTCTATTGCTCATAATGCTTTTTCACTGCTTACTTGGTAGAACATAAAGTGCTTTGGTAAACATTCACTTGTACATGAATCAATACCATGCTGTTAAACATTCACAATTGATTTCTTATGCCGCTCCATTGTGTATAACACCCTTTCCCAACCTGGCACCCTCCAGAAGTCCAAACTACAAGTCCTATCAATCAGATTTGCTAGGCATTGGGGTAGGGCTTTAGTGAACTGAAATATACTGGTTTGGTAAGTGTTCCCTCTGCTTAGTCCAGGAGAGGGAAAACTTTTCTGTGCTGGACTGATGACTGCAAGCCTCAGGTGATCTTGGTCCTAGGACTGACCAACATTTGCATTTCCAAGAGCTGAACCAAGTAATATGTGAGCTATCCAGTTGTTAACTGCTTCAAGTGAAATGTATTGCAATAAAGAGGTTCATTTCTTCGTATAAAAGCAAGCCTGCTCAATTACTGCAGGCCAGTTCCTTGAAAAGGGACTCTAGGGTAAAATGTTGCTTGTGGAAGAAATATTATCCAGTTTCAGAGCTCTTAAATGCAGAAACCCTATTTTGGATGGAGTAGCTACCTAGTGGCATTCTTTATAGATAATTAACCTTTGCTGCAACACTCTGTGGCACATGTCCATTTTGCCAACCTTAGAGATCGCAGTGGGGCATGTGAAGGAAGCTGTTGTTTAGGTGGGTGGGATCTTGGCCATTTAGCACCTTATAAGTCAGAAACACTGAGCCTTGGGAGCCACTGAGCTCCTGTTGTTTGGTTCCAGCTCCGGCCAACCTAGCAGTTCAAAAGCACACCCAAAAGTGCAAGTAGATAAATAGGTACCACTCTAGCGGGAAGGTAAATGGCGTTTCTGTGCTCTGCTCTGGTTTCTCCAGAAGCGGCTTAGTCATGCTGGCCACACGACCCGGAAAAACTGTCTGCGGACAAACATCTGCTCCCTTGGCCAGTAAAGCGAGATGAGCGCTGCAACCCCAGAGTTATTCGCGGCTGGACTTTACTGACAGGGGTCCTTTACCTTTTAAGTCTGAAATAACAGAAACAGATGCCCCAAAAAGCTATTCCGACTTATTGTAGACTTGCACAACATCACCTAAAGTACCATACATGGGTCTACATCAGCCACAACAGTCTGTACTAGCAACAGCTTCAGAATAGTCAGATGTGACCATGCAGTGTCTGTTACAGTTGCCCAGTCTAATGGTTATGAAGACATGAAAGTGGTTGCAGTTCAGACTGCAAAGGAGATTGTCACAGCCAACTTCTCACCAGATGAAATCTACATTTCAGCATTTTGTGCAACCTCTGGGTGAAGTCATCTGGAAATGCTTATGATACTTAGGACTATTCTCAGTTTCATGAGATCCCAAAGAGGTGGTGGAAACTCTTAGCTGGTGTTAACTGGCAATGAGGACTTGAAAGTTGGAAGGGCAAACTTAAACTTAAGCCAAGCAACCAAGGCAAATTGTTCAATACAAGGCTGTTGTATTATGTCTTGATTTGTTTGTACTTATGATTACTTTATTGTGAAATGGAATGGAGATTCTTAAATATGCTAAAAGCAGTCCCGGATACTACTTCATCTTAATAGTAGATAATCTGTTCTCCCACCCAGTCCTTCCTCATGAAACCTGTTGACTTTTACGGACACCAGTGGGAGCATTTCTCCCAGTGCTAATAGCAGCTTTTAAGTAATGGGTTTTTGTTTTGCGAATATGGTAGGGAAGAAGAGCTAAATTCCCCCTCCCATAGCAAAGATAAAAATAAATATATGTGCCTAGTGTAACATCTAGTTAACTAGCAATGTGTGAACCCACTTTCACTAAAATCATGTTTGAGCCACTGACTACAAGCTTATTCCAGCAATGATGGGGGCAGAGAGGAAATCACTTTTTAAATATAATACTCAGTTTCCAAATGTTTTAGCACATGCTCACAGAGCCACTTGGGAATTGTGGAGCTGAGAAAGACATGCAGCAGTGTGTCACCTACGCAGCTGAGCAGTGATCCTGTTAACAGTGGGTCATTAGCTCTGGGCCCACCCATATTGACTGTTGGACTATGGATGAGGCCTCAGCAACTCCAGACGGCTGCAGTCTCGCCAACCAAGTGTAAGAGTGTAAGACAGCTGCCACTCTAGATCAAGTACCTGTTCCAGCGGCATCTCTCTTCCCCTCCCCTCCACAACCTATATACCCACACCATGGCTGATCTTTTGATCAGTGGTACCAAAGGCAGGCCTTATAAGCTGCAGTTTCTTCCCGCGGTTCCCCACCCTAGAGCATGTTTGGCGGAACCTCAAGATTTGTAAAAACACGAAGCATCCATATAGAAAGAAAAGACGAGGGAGCCCAAGGTCCTATCACTGCAAAATCTGCACTTGGTTGGTTGTGGCAAACCTTTTTTATTCAGTTAGAAAGTAAACATATAGATTTACAATCAGATTGTTACCAAAACTGTTTCCTAGAAGGAAGATGTTAGAGATGAAAGCATTGCTGCAAACAGATCTGTTCATCTTGAACTAAGATTTTATGCCGAAGAATTTTCCCCCCTATATTTTTTGTGCCCTCAGAAAACTGTTACCTTCATTAAATCCTATTAAAATGTGTGTGTTTTTCTTTAGATGCTATAATGGACATTTTAATGAGTTAATTAAATTAATATGCTCAGTAAATGTCTGATGTCCTTAGTGGGATAGATAATCAGTATGGTTTGCTTCTGCCCCATATTTTGGTCCTTTTTTCACCTTTCTTTTCTCTCACTCACTTCCATGCATTCATTTTTGCCCTCTTCCTATTTCCCTCACTGCAGCCTCACTCTGGTACTTACACTCACATTCTTTCCTATTTTCTAAGACTTTGGCCTGGTTTGCAGATAATGCTAAAGGATGGTGGTTACTACATTCATGAACTTTTAGACTCACATGCCATTTCTCTACTTCCTCTAGCTGTGAAGAAGATATTGGAAGCTTTTAACAGTTACTTGCTATGTCCAAACCTGCTATGTCCAAACTCTATTGCTTAAGCAAACAAACTGACTTCAAACTGTGGTTAATTAGCCGGAGTTATTTCCTCAAACTGAAGTTCTTGGTTTGGACAAAACCAGAGCTTGCTGAAAATGGAAGCAGAAGCTTCTGGTCTTCTATCTGTGGCTACAGCAAAGAAGAAGAGCCCATAAGCCTGAGTTTGCCAGAGTTGATACCTGCAGTACTAAACCATCACATACTTATTTATTTAGAAAACTTTAGAAAACTTGCACCTGCCCTTCCAACACAATGCCTTGCTCAGGGAAGCTTACAACAATATTTTAAAAACCTGCCCCATAAAATCATAAAGCAACAGCATTCAAAACAGAAAGAGACACAGTGGACAGACCCTTATTTTAGAATGTTTTTATTATATAACCATCATCTGCATGGCAAGGGTTGGGCAGTATCTTGGTTTTCAACATTGTGATAGATCAGCAGCTAAATACCACGATATGTTAATATACCACAGTGTCTGCAATGTATCTTGGCTGCTTCTTCCTCCCCACCTGCCTCCTACCACCCAGCCCTACCAAGCCCCAATACTGCTCTGGCTCACATGAGCTGGAGGGGCATCAGGAGCTGGAGGGGCTTTACTGAACTGCTCAGTGGGGTGTGGGGAAAGTTTTTCAATACTTCTCAACAGTCCTGCTGTTCATGTGTGTCCATGTGTCGTGTATCCATGCATGCATGCATTCCCCCCCCCCCTCTCAACACCAGACTTTTACTTTTGTAATAATGGTATTTTTCCTTTTTTTTTTAGGTGATTGAAGTTTATGACTTGACTAAAGTGAAGTTAAAATATTGGTAAGTGGTCAGACAAATAAATGTAGCCACTTATTCCTTTTCCCCCTCTTAGGGTTGGCAGGACATCTGCCATTGAGAGAGAACAGCTGAAAAGTTACTGAGCTAAAAGATATCCTGTTCATCCTTATCCCATCTTGGTTTAAGAAACTGAGACGAGATCACTCATCTCATCTTCACAGCTAACATAAGACGTATGCTACAGTCCTCAAAACTATGGTTTACCTGAAAGAATCCTGGAAGGGTTTGGTGAGGGTGCTGAGATTTCTCTTTTGGAGATCTCCAGCCACCTTTGCAGTTTCTTAGGGAAAGGGAATGGTCTTTAATAAGGATCTGTCCTCAGGTGATCTTAAGGCTTAAGCTGTGCTCTTCTACAAATTGTCCCTCAGCTAATTTTTGTGTGCTCTTGTGTGACAGTGCAGATATAACTGCTGAAAACAAGGAGCGGGGAGAGAAACTGGCTTTAAAAGAGGCTTCATTTCAGGCCCTCAGAATATCTTACTCTGCTCAGTGAAGCACATAATTGAAACAAAAGCCTCTCTTTTCCTGTGTTTAAAAATGTATTGAGTATATTTCTACTGTGTTTTTCTTGGTGACTTTCCAAAATATTTTCATTCATAAATTTCACAAAAGGTTTCATGGAAACCTCACTGAAGCAGGGTTGCGCAGAGCATCAGTATAGGTACTACTTCATTCTGTAGAAGGGGAATAGTGACCTGCTTCTCTGAGTGACTGTAAAAATAGTTAAGTTTGGAATGAATTGTGAAGATGAAAGACTCATGAAGCTGTTTTATAAGTGACTTTGAATACAACAAATATTTGATCCGATGTTGATTCAGAGACTTACGCCTGGCAAAGCCCCAGAGAGGGACATGTTAATTTTTTTTTCATATCGACTCAGTTCAAGGGGCTTCAATTTTGGCCACTTTGTTTCTGATTATTCAACTGGAATATTGCCAACTGTCTGGATATCTAATATTTTGGTTTCAAACTTTAAGAAGTGTGATCATGGTGACTTTCAAAATATCACCAAATAAGGCTTCTTGATATTCATGCATAAAATATACACACTTCTTTCAGATAAGTTAAAACAATGAGTCAAAGAGAGTCAGGTTATGTCCCCAATGCACGTAGAGGCTTTCACAAGAGACCTTGCACATTGTTCACTGATTTGTTTTGAATTATCTTATTGAAAAGTACATTAGCTGTCCACCAACAAAAGCTGTGTGTTGTGTTTGTTGATCTCTCATTTGCCTTTGACTCCATTGACTGAAAGCGTTCATGGCAATATTGATTTTTCCTTTCTTCCAGTGGTGTCCATTTTAACTCTCAGGCTATTGCTCCAACCATAGAACAAATTGATCAGTCTTTTGGAGCAACACATCCAGGAGGTGAGTTGGCAACTTCTTGGCACTGTTCACATGTGGATACTTGGTTGGTTGTGCCTGTGGCTGTTCCCTATGCATCACTAGAATTGAAAGTCAGATAGACCAAAGGGTCTCATTCACAAAGGATTATTTGTTTATGGAGGAGGATTAAACTTGGTTTTAGCTTTCTATGTGCTTCATGATCTATCTTGCCAAGTGTGATTAAGAAAAGCTTCTAATGAGTTAGTAGAGGCATGAGACTGACAATATATATATTTTCAGAGAGCTGAAAATTGTGGCTCTCCCCACTGGCTGGACAGGCAGGGTCCCAAACTATGATCCTGCCCAAGGGAGAGATCATCCTACTCTTATGAGACAAAGTGGTACTTCAGCCTGATATGACCTTTGTCCTAAAGCAGGGGTGTCCAAACTTTTTTCAAAGAGGGCCAGATTTGATGAAGTGAACATGCATGAGGGCCCACCAAAGTTGTTGACCTTTTTTTGAGGATTCAAGTTGTTGACCTTTTTTTAGAACCACGGGAGGAACAATTGCCTGTGGGTGGGGGCCAGATTAAACTGACTGGCGGGCCACATTAGGCCCCCCCAAACGGACTTCGGACATGCCGGTCCTAAAGGTTAAGACCATCTTTCACAGAGCTCACAAGGTGGTTCTTCCTTAATTTTGTCCTGCTCCATTGTCAACCAAGGAATGGTCCAGGCACTCTGGATGTTTCTGCTTGGATAGGACTTTGGCCTTCCTGAAGTCTGAGGCCATATTTGTTTCCTTCGATGTGTAAGGGCTAGGCAGAAGGTTTCTTCCTTATCCTCAACCATCTCTAGGAGGCTCAGGGAGGCAATAGGGCTCTTGAAAAGGTTCCCTGTTTGCCCCTTGGCCTGTTTTTTCTTGTGTTAGTCTTCTGGACCTGGACCTGTTGGAACTGGTATCCTCCTATGTGGATGGAGTCCATGTGGTATGATGGGTCATTCTTTCTGTGCTGGCTGGTCTGGTGCGAGTGGGATGGACCGTCCTCTGGGAAGGATCATCATTTTGGGACCCTGCCTGTCCAGGCAGTGGGAAGAGCCATCCCAGACTATTGACTGCCCTCCAATAACCCCTGCCAGTAGAAATTCATGATAAGAATTTTGACTTTTGTCTCCTGTGGAATTTATGCTTTATGTTTCATTATTTTTTTTTTCTCTGGCTCTGTTATATTCTCTAGTCAAGCAGGTTTCTCAGGTAGCTGTAGTGGGGAACCTCAGGCCCAGGAACCCAATGCAACTCCAACTCCCCAGCCTCTCTATCTGCCTCTCTATACTCCCTCTTTTCCTAGGCTACGCCAGTCAGTGGCCTTGCTGTACATCCTCCTTGGGTGGTTTTGCTTGGCTGTAATGTGTTCTTGAACTCTGAAAATGTTTCCTGCTTGCCTGGCTGGATGATAGAGAGGGGTGCAATAGTGTGTGTAGACACAGGCCTACTGTCCAAAGGTACAGTCATTGCTTGGCCCACTTTTGCCTGTGGCCCCATCCACCACTGGCATGTGACTCTTATAAGGTTGCCTAGAAGGCAGTGAGGTTCTTGGGCTGAAAAAGGTTCCCTATACTTGCAATAGTGCTTTAGAAACTTGAAAATCCTGTTTGACTAAAGCTGTGAGTACACCAAAGGAAACAATGCCTATTTCAAAACGCCTTCAAGTCATCAAGTATTATGTGTCTGCAATCAGTGTCATATGAATACGTTTGGGATGAGACGAAAAAGCAGATCTGTGCTAACAGAATTATAAAACCATCAGATTATAATGATATTGCTTCAGACCACATGCAGAGGCAACAGTCCTCATTACAATTGCTGGTTATATCAGGCGTGTGCCCTCCTTCCTCTCATAATAACAATGAATTGTATCCACTTAGTTCTACTCAGAGTAGACTTGACCTGACTAATGGATCTACTCTGAGTTAGTTGACTACAACCCAATATTTTGCTATGAAGGTTTACACTAACTAGGTTTAGCATTCTAACCAGGGTTTGTTAAGCAATAACAAACCCTGGTTAAGAACAACCCATGGTTAGCATTGTCCTTCATATACACATAATGCTACACTACAATTTTACCAAGCCATGTGAGGAAAGTGGGAGAAACAAGTAGGATGGAGCCTGTGCCTGATGGGTTTGCTATGTTTTTTTCAATCCTACAAATTCAATAGCGATAATGAGAATAGAAAAATCTTGCCTGGTACTTGAGCATTTGAAAACCTCCTATCTGGCCTCATTAATTATCCCTGTTGTTCACCCCATGGGTTTTTGCCTTTAGACAGGTTGAAGCCCCAACTGCTGCTAGATGTTTCATAAGCACTTTAGGCATAGTTAAATGAAGAGCTAAACTGCTTGACAGTACTGTCAGATTGGAAAGGGATAAATTGCTGTTCTTATATGCATATATGTGTGTGTGTGTTTCCAGTGTACAACTCTGCTGAACAACTTTTCCACCTCAACTTCAGAGGACTGTCTTTTTCCTTTCAATTGGACTCATGGACTGAAACTCCAAAGTATGAGGTCTGAAATCTTCTTTGTTAATAAATACATTGTTAAACAAAGCAGTCACTGTGTTTTGAAAGACTTGTAACTCTCTTTGTGCCTTAATTTATTGATTTTTGAGATATGTTACTTCCCCTTTAAGCCTAGTTCAGCTGTCATTGGAACTGATTTCCAAACTATAAAAGTATCCTGCAGGCTGACACACACTCCCTCTCTCCACCCCACTTGTTCCCCCCTCTGCCTTTTCCTGCTTAGTGATAACTATAGGTTTACTGTGATATCTGAACTGGTATTATCCTAGTTAACCACTAACCATAGTTTAATCTCAAATCAGAGATTGGAATCAGAGTTGTTTCAAACTGTTGGTGGTGTTAACAAAAGCAGCAAAAAAAAAAGTGAATGCTTTTTCTAGGCTGCATCAGCAGAAGTATAGTGTTCTAGTCAAGGGAAGTAATAGTCCCTCTCTTCCTCCCTACCTAGCAGTTCGAAAGTGCCCAGTGCAAGTAGATAAATAGGTACCGCTCTGGCGGGAAGGTAAACAGCGTTTCCGTGCGCTGCTCTGGTTCGCCAGAAGCAGCTTAGTCATGCTGGTCACATGACCCCGAAGCTGTACGCCAGCTCCCTCGGCCAGTAAAGCGAGATGAGCGCCACAACCCCAGAGTCGTCCGAGACTGGACCTAATGGTCAGGGGTCCCTTTACCTTTATTACACCATGGTCAGACCACAGTCCTGGGTCCAGCTCAGCGATTGCTGGCGAGGAAACAGCTGATAGGCAGCCTGTTAGACACACGGAGCTGTTAGCCTCTGGGTAATCCTCCCCCCCCAAAAAAAATTTACAACAAGTTAGGGCAATTTCCCCCCATTTTCTTAATTTGGAGTCCCCAAAAATAGGGGGCGTCCTATACATGGGGACGTCCAATACACAGAAAAATACAGTAATTGAACAAAGTGCATGTGGATTTACAATAGGTTCCCTAAATCTTCAAATCAAGATTCGCAAATAATTTTTATGAAAATTACTGTTTTACAATAACTACCCTGCAGTGTCTGACACCTCTGAAATTAGGGACCCTGCAATTGGCTAACATTCTGGGACCACTGCAATATAGATTGGCGTCCAACCATGGATTGTTTCTTTTAAAATTCAAACTGCACTGCAAGACAAGAAAACAACAGTAATATTCCTAGTTAGAATAAGTTTAATGAACTACTAGCCTCCTAGCAGGAGGTGCTGAAATTAATCTCCCTTTCAAAATAGGAGGGGGAAGAAAGGATGATGAGTGGGGGGGGGTCCTGCTGTCTATGTCTGTTAATCAGCTACATTCATAGACTACTAAGAAGAAATGGTTTGTGGAGTATGCGTGCCATGGGATCCACTGTGTGTGTGTGTGTGTGTGTGTGTGTACATGTACATGCAAGTGACTTCTGCAAGTTCTTTCATGGGGTTTTTTACTGCTGCAGGACATGTCATGGGGGTTTTAATCTTAGTTTTGCTATGTAAAGAGATAAGGTTTTGCTGGTTTTTGAAGATCATTCTGACTCACTCGGTTGTATGTGGTACAAGATTTAGTATTATTGGACTTAAAACTATGTGTTGTGCAATCAAATATAATTTTAATTTAACCTTTCCAGCCAAACTTTGCCCATGGCCTAGCTTCCCTGCAAATTCCCCATGGTGCAACTGTGAAACGTATGTACATCTATAGTGGAAACAGTCTGCAAGATACCAAGTAAGTAGCTCTTATATTTTGGGAAATATCTCCAAATAGATAAATAGTGAAAGTCAAATCTCGTGTTATTTTATGTGCATATAATTATGTATGCTGGCTATATTTAGCTTTATTAAAGTATTCAAGTTTACTTGGCTATTTACATAGTCTGTCATTTTGTGTTTAAGCTTTTTCAGGCAAGTCCATTTCCAGATTAAAAGTACAGAGCCTCTTCACACAATAACTTACTCTGGTATTTAAAAACATACCAACCAACCCTGCTGGTTAACATGCTCAGGAGTTAATTGAGCCAAGCTTAATTTAAGCATCTTCTCAAACCATGAGGATCTGTAAAGACAATTTTTGAACCCAAACTATAGTTTTATCTTCAAAATGTGCAGGCGAAAACCATGGTTTATAGCTGCTTATTTGCTTCTATTTGGTCAGTGCTCTATTCTGAAGATGCAATAGCCTCTGAAGGCAGAATGATGTTAATAACCAGTTTACCAATTCAGACATCTCATCAAAGCATTGTTTGCAAACCTATTGCAAACTATGGTTTCTAATTCTTGTTTGCTGGTCAATTGCAACCTATGCAGTTTATCAATTTAGCCATAGTTAATCTTTCTCAGCCATGCTTTAGCATTCAAATTCAGCCATAACAAGCTCCCTAGAGTTACTTCCAGTTAGAAATCCAGTTATTTAAATGTTTATAGTGTGGACTTTGTTGTGTGGTAGTTTAATTTAAATTTCAACATGGGCATTCTGTTCTGTTGCTGGCTGTTTAGCATAGATTTAGTAAATGGCAAAGTTCCTTTAAAGAATGCAGTTCTTCTCTTTTTGCTTCTTCATCTGTAAGTTGTGTTTGCGACACCACTATTGAGTTAGAGCTGTTTAGTCAGATAGCACTCGCTATTGGTATAGAAAAGTGAACCAGAAACAATGTGTTGCTTAGCACTAATCTGCATATTGTTTAATTGTACATGATCTTGCTGTTTCAGGGCTCCTATGATGCCCCTCAGCTGTTTCCTTGGAAATGTGTATGCAGAGAATGTTGATGTTCTGAGAGATGGAGCTGGGCCCTCAGGTTTACGGCTTCGCTTACTCACTGCAGGTATTAGTGAGCAGAGGTTTCCTTTCAAAGGCACAAATGTGAATATGGGCAACCTATATATCTCGGAATCTCTCAAGTACTTACTTCTGATTTCTCTCTCACCTCCTCTATTGGAGATGACTCGTACATTCCAGGAAATATTGCTTCAGTTGATTCCAAGTTCATTGCAACACCATTCTTGGTATAATGAAACTTTGTCTTACGTGGAGGGGTGTGGGTTCTCCTTGAGCAGTAAGTAAGTCTGTCTGTCAAGCAAGAATTCCTGCAAAACTATATATGAACCAGATTCACAATCAGAACCTTTGGGAGATGTGGAAAGATTCCCAGGGATTTAGCAGGGTTGCAAAGGGAATTAGGAGGTGCTCTTTACCACCATAGAGACATAGAAGCCTAAAACTGGATCAAGAGTCAGTCAGCCAGTAGTCAGATGTGTATTAGAATTCAGATGTGACCCCCAAACCATGGTTTATGAAGTCATGTTGTAGCCACACCAACACCATATATCTGACCATCATTTGCAAGAGTCCACCAAACCAGGATATGAAACCATATTTTGAAGCTGATTTGGGATGTTGCTCCACCCTTGAAGGATTCTGTTTTGGGAAGACATCTGGGGTTTCTAGGGGAGGAGGCTAACCATACAAGCTTGCTCATAAGTCTCATATGAACACAAAAGCCTGAGTGGAGTTATCCAGAGTTTTGAATACATTGCCAGCAATATGCTGATGACACACAACTCTACTTCCCCTTTACAACTGCAGGCGTGGCAGTGGAAGTGCTGGACCAGTGTCTTGCCTTGGTAATGGACTAGATGAGAGCCAACAAACTGAAGCTCCATCCAGATAAGACTGAGGCACTACTAGTGGATGGTTCCCTAGACTGTATGGATGGGAAGTTGCTTGCTCTTGATAGATTACACTCCCTCTGAAGGAGCAGATACGCTGCCTGGGGGTATTCCTGGATCCTTTGCTGTTGCTTAAGACTCAGGTGGCCTAGTGGCGTGGAGTGCCTTGCATCAGTTTGGGTTGGTGGCCCAGCTGTGCCCCTACCTGAACAGGAATAGCCTTATGCTATGGTAACTTCTAAGTTAGATCACTGCAATGCACTATACATGGGGCGGTCTCTGAAGGTGGTTTGGAAACTTTGGCTGGTGCAGAACAGCTAGGCTGCTCACCAGGGCAAGACTGAGCATATAACACCAATCCTGGCCCAACTGCACTGGCTGCCATGAGCTTCTTGGAAGAACAGCAGAATCACCTAAGAAATAGGTAAAATGAGTGCAGTTTCAATCCAGCATTTGGTTGAAGGTTTGATGTTAGTTTATTTGTGGATACTGTAATGAATGAAAAGTTCATCAAGTCTTGCTTCTGTTCACCTGAAGATTAGCGTCACAAAATGAAGGATTTTTGGTTGTCTTGATTACAAGATGAATGAAACTGTAGCCAATTTTAAGTGGAATTTGCTTCTATTTTTACAGAGGAGGCGAAAGGAGAGCTGCCTAGGACAGGGATCATATATCCTGGTAATAGTAGGAAGGAGTTAGCTATTATCCAGAAACTGTAAATGGTTTTTCAAGGTAGAGTGTGAAGTCCAGATAACATATATACATGCCTGAAATTTAAAGAAAAAGATGTTGGATGTATTAGCTACTCATTATTAGCTTTGTGCACTGAAGGGTTAACTCATGCATATCAAAACTCAGTTTTAAAGTGAATGTACTGCATTTGGATGCCAGTGTATCTAAAGAACTGCCAGTCTGAGAGCAGGACAATGGAAAGGGGATTCATAATTAACAAAAATGTTGATCCATGTTAAATTTATGTAAGATGTATACTACATTTAAAATACTTTCACCTATGGCTTGAACAGAGATTGTGGATTTTTATTACACTTCGTGTGGTAATAAGCTTACTGAAGCCCGGATGCTGGTGTTATCAGCAGCGTGGCCTTATTAAGTGTCACTATGTTGATTTTAGCAAATTTTCACAGTGTGTCCTTCTTTCATTTTGTTTCCCTCGGACCTAATTTATCCATTCCACACAGTCATGTGTGCCAATTTAGGATTACATTAATGCATCTGTTGAAGTGGACTCTGGTTCATGAAAGTGTATGACAGGGGTGGGCAGTCTGTGGCCCTCCAGCTGCTGTTGGGCTCCGAACTCGTATCATCTCCAGCCAGGCATGGTGAGAGTTAATAGTCCCGAAGCATCTGGAGTGTCACACGGTTACCCACACCTGCTGTGATGGCTGGGGTATTGGACTAGGACCAGGAAACTCAAACCCACAAAGTTCACTGAGTGATCTTGAGACAGCCACACGCACTCTCAGTCTAACTTGCTCTCTATTATAGTTTCATTGTGAGGTTAAACGGGAAAGGGTGTGTGTGTTGCCTATAGCCCCTATAGGGCGGGGTAAAAATGTAACAATCATTCCTGATAAAATATGGATTAATCTAGAGTATCTTTTATAGAAGGGTGCTTGTGCATAACTTTGGTTGCAAATTATTTAAAATTTTAACCCACACTTCATGCAATGAATAGTATTGTACTGCATTGGGCCATTTCTAAAGAAGAAAGAGCACAACCCCAGCCCCACAGAAAGAGCACTTCTGCTCTTGTGCAACTCCTCTTCATTTCAATAGGACTTGAACAGAATGGGTGAAAATGGATGCTTCAGCTGCATGCTAATTTGCACCAGCCTTCCCCAATGTGGTGCTCTCAGTATTTGTAGTCCAAGACATCTGGAAGCCACCAGATTGAGGAGGACTAGTGTGCATGAATTTGAATAATCGGTCTTCCACAGGTTATTTCTGAGAGTTGCTCCAATGTGGCAAGTGTGTTTTGTACATTTCTATTTAGTGTTGTTTTTTTTTCTAATTGGATTCTGCTAGTGTCACTTGCATCCTGAGTTACACCTCTCTGAAGTTGCTCATTTTTATTTTTATTTGTTGAGAGACTTCTAAAATCTGCCACAGTGCAATTTCTGTTCTCGTTTCACCCTTTTGGTTAGCTGGGTGAGAGCTGAATGAAGGCTTCCAGCCATAGCAACATTTTGGAAGTGTGGTATCCCATCTATTAACACTTTCCCTTGTTTTTCAGGTTGCGGCCCTGGTGTATTAGCTGATGCCAAGATGCGGGTATTTGAGCGCTGTGTTTATTTTGGTGATTCGTGCCAAGATGTTCTGAGCACTTTGGGGTCTCCTCACAAAGTTTTCTACAAGTCAGAAGATAAGGTTGGACTACAATAACAAGTTAACACAGATTATCTCTGTGTTAGGCTACTAAAATTAACTGTTCACACTTTTCAATATCCCTACAGGCTTGGAAGTTCTTTAATAAATGTTAACCTTCTAACTGCCCTGTGGCTTCAGTTTTAGGACAGAGTCTTGTCTTCTCATCCTGCCTAACCCCAGTTTTTACTAACAGTATTTTATTTATTTATTTATTTATTTATTTAGTAGATTAGATGGTAAACTGCTGTCTGGACTGCACTGTTCAGATTCTGCAGGATGATGGAAGGTTCTATCGTAACAGATTCCCACCTACAGAAAACTAGTATGTCAGGAAAAGGCTAGAGTAGAAGCAGTTTCCCTGACAATCTACTTTTTTGTGCAGGGATTTCCTCCCCCCCCCAAATGTTCTGGTATGCAGGAGCCATGTTGAGGCCCCATTCAATTTCCCCAAGGTACCAATGTGCAAGAAAAATAAGAAGGGAGGGAAAGAATACAGGGATCTCCCCAATTTCATTCAGGTGATGCAAGTTAGTGTTCACTGAATGTGCCCAAAATGCCCAGTAATCAAGTGGCAATAATGGTTGTTGGACCAGAACAAATTTCTCATTTCTGCCATAGAGGTAACATAGTCCATTCAAACTAGAGGAGCATATTGATGAAACTAGACGATCTACTTGTCTCCTTATTTCCAAAAGCTGAAGTGTAGATTTGTTTTGTTTGTTTTTTTAAAGATGAAAATTCATTCACCCTCGCCTCACAAGCAGGTCCCTTCAAAGTGCAATGACTACTTCTTCAACTACTTCACACTTGGAGTGGTAAGTTGCAAACATTGAAAACAAGGGATTTTTTTCCTTTTTCTTTTTTGCTTCCATCCGTGCACAACTTTCATAATGCCTGTACCATGTTCATCAGTTAATGCAGGAATCAATGTTGTCCAAATCCTTCAGAGCTCCTTTGCTGAGAAATTTGAAAACTATCTTCTTATCTTTGTCAGTTTGATTAGTGACACGTTAACACAATTAGTATCTCATGGGGCCCATTCTATGTATTTGATATGCAGCATTTGCAAAATCAAAACATAATCCTTCAGACTCAAAAAATGTTCTGGAGAAAGGGCAGTGCCACTGCCTGTCATCTTAAACACAAATGGGAGAAGGCAGAGAATTTTTTTTCCAATTAGTAAGGGCAGGTCCCAGGAACTTGGAGGTCTTGGCTTTCACAGTGATTTTTGCATAATATTATATCCTCTTGCTACCAAATAAGAAAACATATTGAAATCATTGCTCTCTGAGCCCACCTGCATACATTTCAAAAAGCCCTGTCCAGGACTTTCTGTTCATTTATGGGAAGCTGTTTAAACATTTCAACTTGGTGTGGCTCATTGTTTTTCCTTTCTCAATTTCACCCACAGGATATCCTTTTTGATGCAAATACTCACAAAGTGAAGAAATTTGTTCTACATACTAACTACCCTGGTCATTACAACTTCAATATGTGAGTAGAAAGAACTGTATTGCCCAAACCTCTGTTGCAATTTGGAAGGCAAAGGGAAGGGAGCATCAAGTAGAAGGCAAAGAAACCGGTACCATTCTGAATCCCCACCAGCAATGCCTAAGCTCTTTCTGGTTTCTAAGCCTTCGTCAGATGTTACTCACATTTCCACAACTTTTTCTGGTTAGAATCTTCTTTAAAACAAACATGAATTTCTCTGTATTTTAAATTCCCTGCAATATACTGGATTCTTCTCTTTGGTTTCTGTGTTGTCACTTCTCGACTACAGTAGTTGACTGTTGCAGACCCTGGAACTAATGAGTATCAACAACCTCTTTTCCCTGTGCAAGATGTGTTGCTGTAATTTGTCAAAACCCAGTTTTTTAGGAGATCAGTGAAGGTAGTGTGTGGAAGTAACACTCTGCTCATTCATAAGACTAGATTTCCCATCTTATGCCCCACAAAGAGGAAACTTAACTCATCCCCCCCCCAAAAAAATCCACCCATAATTCATGCCTGATTTTTAAGATTTCTGCGTGGTAATCTGAAAACCTAATTAACAATTATATTATATTATATTATTTTATTTATTTATTTATTTATTTATTTATTTATTCAAATTATATACTACTTAACACTGTATTTTCTAAGCAGTGTACATTGGGATTAAAAAAGAGATACAAATGATAAAATCAATTAAAATTAACCATAGAATCACAGAAGCTTACGGTACTTAAAATGCCTCCTGAAATCAAAAGTCTTCACCAAACCCCTGAAGTTCCACAGAGAGGGGACCTGTTTGATCTGACCTGCGAGGGAGTCCTGCAGAATAGGCCCACAATACTGAATGCATGGCTCCTAGTGGTAGAAGCAAACTGTGCTTCTGTGTCATGGGCACCACTAGCAATTACTTCTTTGGGGTAGGGTGCTTAACATTTGGGTGGGAGGTTGTCTATAACTCAGAAAACGTACATGCTTTGAATGCAGGTCGTCATGATTTCAGTCCCCGGTGCCTCCAGTTAAAAAATAATAATCACATAGCAACAAGTGATGTGGAAAACCCTCTGCCTAAGATCCTGAAAAGCTGCTGCCAGAGTAAACAATACTAGAATAGATTAAAAAATAGTTAAGAGCTGGTGTCAGGAAGCTTTCAGTGTTCTGCATATTTGCTGTGGTATCTGGCATCACTCTGGTTGCCGCCAATTAGGCAGCATAATTTCATGCAAAACTGGTATGGCTGGCAGAAAGCTATGCTAAACATTCAAGCAAGTACTAGACCGTACAAGAGTGGAGAATATATCTGTGACCAGGTCAGGTTGCCAACTTCTATTATCTGCAATTATATTGTGCTTAATTTAGAATGGGCTACTTTTGAAATAGTATACCTCATTTATGCTTGTCCTTTCTCGCAATAACTCTGCAATTTAAATATTTCAGTTACCATCGTTGCGAATTCAAGATTCCACTAGCCATTAAACGAGGTAAGAAAGAGGTGCCTGAAGTAACCTGAAAGTTAAAAGACTTAATAGGAGTGGGTGAAGGTGTTAAACACACGCTAGTGGTAAAAATTAATATGCTAAGCAGTCAGAGTGAGAACAGGACCAAAGTTGCACAATGTCAGATAATTAGGACGGCAGATTCAGGTTCTCCCACACTGCGGGTGTGTTAACAAAGAAACAATTTAAGGAGAGGAAAACTGAGCAGCAGCACTTCCGAGAGATGTCAGCACTGCCCAGCGTTCACACCCCAAAGTGTTATTGTAATACAAGAGAAAATATTTATCTGTTCTTAATGTGACATACTTACAGGATGCCAGTGCAACTCAGTGGACAAGAATACTAGGTCTGGGTTGAAGTCTTGACTGAGCTTTGGACACACCACAGCGTTTCCCTGTTGAGGCTCTTTAACATGCAAGAGTTTGTGATAACCTACCTTGGCAGGTTGTTGGGAGTATGAACAGGAAGGAAACCTCATTCATGTAGGGGTGGTTAGAACAGGGCGTAATTGGGATTTATATCGTAGGTGAAATAAATCTCAGTTCAAAATCTGGAAACATTCAAAGGACTTGGAACCAGAATGATGTAAGGGTGATTCAGGAAGCTCTTTTTGTACAGATGTTATAATATTTATTTTCGTGGGGGCAATCAGTGGCATAAACCAGCAAATGCAAGGCTGTTTTTCCTTCAAGAATAATAATGATTATTATATAATAATAAAAAGATAAATAAAAATTAGAATACTATAATTTCACTCTTGGCTCCTAACTTAAAGAAATGAACCTGTTGTCAAAACATTTCCCAGGCAACCGTAGTTAGCACTAGGAATGAGAGACAGTTGGCTGATCTCATGCCTGATAACTTTCCTTTCCTAAAATTCTCAAATGTTATTTCAAACTATCTCACCGTGGATATATTTATTAATCAGCTTCTTATTTCAAAGGAGTTTTCATGGAAATTATGAAATATATCATGATCATGAGAGCAGAATAGCTCTAATTGCCTCCAGGTTTTGATGTGGAGTCCTCCTTGGAGATATGCGGAGGATCCTTGTCATTGCTTTCCAAGAGAACAAATCTCAGTCAGTTTTTCTGTACTTGGTACTTGTCATGATTTGTGTATATGTGTTACCAGTAGTTTCTGGGGAAACAAGGGCCGGGAGAGTTTTGCCTATGGCTGGCAACATTTTGATCTCCTCATTCAAGTTCAGAATCAGGCTGGCATGTGAGACATCCTTAGATGAGTTACTTGTCCCAATTTGCCTTGGCTTTTATTTTGGAGCACTGAGGTCAGCCCCCAATTACTTTCCTTAAACAAAGGAAATAAAGACATAAAGCAAACTAACAGCAACTGTTAAAAGAAGTAGAAGCAAATGTCAGGTTTTGGAGGCAACTTGGCTGTGTAGACACAAGGCAAGTTTTTCAAGTGCCATGTCTTTGGGGGACTTTTGACAATATCTGACTGCGGACAAAGATTAAGATGTCAGTAGACACTGACTTGGCAGGTGGCCAGCATGCCAACCTTAGCCTGTTTTGGTACCAAGCAAAAACCTAAACATTTATCTCAGGAGTGATGCAATAACATGGAGTTGACACCTTTTAAGTGTAGCATTTGGTCTGTTTACACTGTGGATACATGTTCATATGGGTAATATGAAACTGGTGATCACAGATACAGTTGGCACTGCAAGGAAAGGAGCCTCTGACAGCTGTACTCTTAGTCACCTGTTAACATCTGTGAGCACACACCCAAGGTTGATGGGAAATCTAAGTGTATGAACAGCCAGTTGCAATACCTCTTGATATTCTTATCTATATAAAAATGTAACATCTCCAGCATCAGGTCTTAAAACTGAAGGGCCTTAAGAGGGCCACACTTGCCCGCTTCAACTTTTCCTTTCCTGGGGTGATTAATTCTGCCCTGTTGGGTGTGCTTGAATTCTCCATTATTTCTTTCATGCAAACAGTCAGAAGTTTGGGCTGTCCTCAGAGCAGGCTGTTGGTTGAGTCACTGAGCAACAACTAATGGCATGGCTCCTTTCCAATGAGGAGGCGTGCCCAGAACAGCAGTTCACAAAGAAACAAAGGAAGGGGGCTCACCTGGGGATGTGTAATTCTTACTCTTAGAAACCCTAAAAGTAAATAGTGTGGTGGGAGGCGGGGCGGTAGAAGAGTGAAACATGTGTCTTGTTGAAATAGAAATTTAGAAAATACTAATATGCCAAGACTCTTGGAATTAGCTTTCAGTGTCACATCCATGTTGCTTCCATGTACTGAATAGTACCTGTCAGGGGTTCAGGGAGAGAGGCGCAGATGAGGGAGGAGACTGAGAGCGAGGGGGAAGGATCCCAGGGCGACGAGGAAGAAGATGACAATGAGTCGAGGGGTTCCATGAGTCTCTCCAGTGAATCGGAGGATTCCCAAAAGGGAGCGCCCCTGGTCAGGCCAAGGGGAGCCACAGGGGGGAGTAGTCAGGAGCAGGGCAGCAGCAGGGGAACCCCCAGTGGGAGTTGGAGATCGGGACCGGCTTCTCCGCCGGAACGGAGTGAAGGGGGTGGAGTTCCCAGTGTGTCAGACGGAGCAGAGCAGGAAGCAGAGAGGGGAAGGAGATCGGGGCAAGACGTCCTGCCGGAAGGGGCGGAGAGTAGTACCGAGAGCAGTGTAACTGTCAAGAGGAAGGTCAGAAGCAGCGTACGCGCGCCAAGTTCAAATGTGGAGGCGCGCGGAAGTGAGGAGAGCCCGGAGGAGGAGCCTGGTCCCAAAGCACGGAGGAGGGGGGAGCAGGCGTCAGAGGATTCAGCCTCTGGGGAATCCCGGAGGGAGGGAACCCAGGGGGGCAGAAAGACCCTGCGGAAAAGGAAGGAGAGGAAGAGGTGGTCCAGCGCAAGCCTCTTAAACTGGTGTAGAGGCGGGACTGATTCAGAAGGGACTTCAGCGGTCTAAGCCTAACAGACGTGGGGCCACGCGCCTCGGATGTGGAGCTAACAATGTTCTTCAATAAAAGCTTTTGTACATAAGCTGGACTTGGCGTTGGTCTCTTGTGAGCTGGGACCTTGGGTGGCCCTGACAGTACCTAACATGCTGTTGGTGCAGAAGGGCATTAGGAAGAGGAGGAGTGGGATCTTCTGTTGAAATGTAGCCTTATTGGTCATTTTCTCTGTTCTTTCTCCAAACAGATAGCACCGATTCACAGACAGAAACCTGCACAACCTATAGCAAGGTAAATCGAACCCCAGTCATGCTTGCTAGAACAGCCCTTTAACTTCAGCAGTGGCACCTTATATGCACAGGGCTAAGAAAAGGTATGCTGGAGCACTGTGCTAAGGTGGCCTCTTTCAGGAGGTAGTTGGGGTCAGTGGCTGGGAGTCATCCCAGAAATGGACCCACTCCAGGCATTTGCAGATTTAATCTTCCAGCTAGGTGGAATGGAGCTCAAAGCAGGATAAAGTTAAAGGTAAAGGGACCCCTGACCATTAGGTCCAGTCGCGGACGACTTTGGGGTTGCGGCGCTCATCTCGCTTTATTGGCCAAGGGAACCGGCATACAGCTTCCAGGTCATCTGGCCAGCATGGCTAACCACAGCAGCGCACGGAAACGCCGTTTACCTTCCTGCCGGAGTGGTACCTAGTTATCTACTTGCACTTTGAGGTGCTTTCGAACTGCTAGGTGGGCAGGAGCAGGGACCAAGCAACGGGAGCTCACCCCGTCACGGGGATTTGAACCACCGACCTTCTGATCGGCAAGCCCTAGGCTCTGTGGTTTAGACCACAGCGCCACCCACGTCCCTTCAAAGGAGGATACTGGAGATAAAATTGGGCAAGCAGGATGATATGAGAAAAGACAATGCTTGAAATACCATGGTTCCAAATTCAAATTTACTGTTGTAGCAAACCACAAGTTAGCACCTGAATTCTAGAGGTAAAATACACCTATACACCTTAATTTTTTTAAATTGCATTTTATTATAAGTACAGAAACATACAACATTAAACCAAAATGAGAGAAATACCCCCCCCCAAAAAAAACCCTCATGGTGTCCCTGGGCTTGGTATATACTGTATAACAAAGCAGCATTCCCACTAAAGTCCATTATATCAGGCTGTCTGTTTATCTGCAACAGCTGCTGACAATTGACCCTTTAAGTTTTTACAAAAAAAATGTTTAAAAGTTTGCAAATAAAGTCATATGTATTAGCCCCAGCCATCTGTGAGTGGATTTTAGCTGATGTTTGCTTTTTCTTAAGTGTCTTAAGTGTCAAAAACATAGATATACAGGACATGCTGCATTCTACCACTAGGATCCATGCTTCATTCTCTAAGTAATTTTCATATGCTTACAGTGGGACAATATTCAGGACCTTCTTGGACATCCTGTAGAGAAGCCAGTGGTACTTCACAGGTAAACATTTTATTTTATTCTGTCACTTGGATAGGAATCGATTGGATTTCAAGTGACTACGAGAAAGAGAGGCCTAATAATACTCAACAGCTTCATTGAATTAAATGTGCCATGATTATAGAATCATAAAACTAGAAACCCCTGTTTGCTAAGTGCTGTCCCTAGACATTGGTAAGACATAAAAAAGATTCATTTGTCACCTTGCAAGTTGAGAGGCTGAAAAAGCAAAGAATCTGCCTTCGTTGTAGTTACCTTGCTGAATGTGTAATCCTTCACAATAGTTCCACATTCTACTTTGCTGCAAACTCGCAATGCTTACTAGCGGTGGAGGAAAGCAAAACATGGTTGAGCATTATACCTTTGTAATGAAAAATTCCGTTTGATTCCCTAGAAAGATAGGTTTTGTTGTTTATGCTGATATTGGGTGTTACAAAAATATTGAATATAAATCTTACTGGTGTTATTTGGTTACCTTAGCCTGATTTTTCTTTTCTTTAGATCATCCTCTCCAAACAACACAAATCCATTTGGGTCAACGTTTTGCTTTGGACTGCAGCGAATGATCTTTGAGGTTAGGAAAGCTTACTTAGCCAAAAGACGTGATGGAGCACTGGATTTAGTTGGTTTGAAGTAGTGGCTGGTTCTGCAAGTCTGTGGACATTTCTCCCATGTTGTTCTGTTGAAGCACTCTGCATTCTTGGCTGATGTGGTGTGGGATACACTTAAGTCCATTGTGTGGGGGACCAGTTCAGCAGACAAATTTGAAGTGAATCACACAATGCACATCATTATCAAGCCTAGCTCTGTAGTAGGATAAAAAGAACTTGGATGCAATGATAAAAACTTATTTTCCACACTGGGATGGGAAACGTGATTGACTTGTGGTTATTCTGTGGGGGCGGGTGGAACATAATGGATGGAGCCAGAGGAAAAAAAGGGGAAAAAAGCAATAGGTTTTCACCATGATTCCCTCAGATTAGAATTTCCAATCCTGTGCAGGTTTTTTCAGAAGTAAGCCCTACTGGGTTTGATGGGGTTACTCTCAGATTGGCATACCAAGGATTTGTTTATCTAGTAAATTCAACAGATGAATACAGTTGCTGTTTTGGAAAACAAGTTTTCCTTCTTCTTTAGTGTGTGCTATGCACAGAAGGGAAATTTCATTACCTAGAGCCATAGAACGGGGTGGGGTGGGGGTGAATCAATTTATTTATTTTCAGTAAAATAGTGCCTCTTCCAGTTCTTAAATTATATAGGAAGGGCAACTTTGGGGGACTTTTAAAAGCCAAGAGAAAAGAAGAAACAAAAAGGAAGGAGCTCTGATGCGGTGGAAGAATGGGGCTTCTTCAGGAGATGGCAAGGGCTGCATAAGGTAAGGTTAGGAGCCACCTGCAGGCCCCGCTGTCTAAATGAGCCAGTGAAAAAAAGACTAAAAGGGGGTTCATGTTTAAAACCAGTTTCGAATAGACTTTTATTTTGAAGCCACCAAAGGAACCATGGCTAGTCTGAGGTTTGAGTCCAGGTCACGCAGATCAAGTCTCTAGTCCACTGGGCGGTGTTAGTTCTCCATATTACTGCTAACCTATTTGGGATTCTTTTTGGGGGTTTTTAAAATCATTTTTATTGATTTTCCAATAAAAACAGCTATTTGGGCTTCTTTTTGGAGGAATTTGAATTCTGTCGTCCTTCTGATGGTAAGGGCTGTCTGACAGTATTCCTTTTTGTTTCTTTGTACAGGTGATGCAGAATAACCACATAGCTTCTGTTACTCTCTATGGCCCAGCAAGACCCAGCAGCCAGTTGAAAATGTCAGATCTTCCCCAGTGAGCGATATCAGCTAATCAAAATGCTACAAAATTAGTACAGCGTGCCTTGATTTGCTGCCACTTATAATATGGAAAAGCACGGTATGATGGACATGTGTGTGTGTGTTGTGTGTGTGTGTGTGTTCAAAAACTGTCTTTTGCCACCTGTGCATGGAGCAGGATGGGAAATCCTCTTGACTGTTCATCACAGGGCATGGAAATGAGCAATTAGGTGCCTGTCGCCGTTGATTTTTCTCCTCTCAGTTGCCCTCATCCTTTACCGTGTGGATGTAAACAGACTGGTCTTTCTTTCCTGGGCTGGAAAAAGGATGAGCTTTAAATGAGAGGGCACACAAATGACTGCACGACTTAGAAGCACAAACTTTCTGAGCCTTGGAGCATCTGGAAGCAGGTATTGGATATATTTTTTTCCGGTCTGTGTTTGTGTAAACTGTAATGGTAGTCATGTTTTTTAAAGGACAACAATGTATGTGTGGGTGTGTATACACACACATAGACACACCCCTTATATATAGGTGTATATATAAAATAAAGTACATGGGTATTTCTGTGGCTAAGACATCGTACCAAATGTGACAAGTATGTATATATACGTGTCCATGATTTCAGGCATCACATGTTTGTCTGATGTTGAAACAAGTGCAAAGCAGCATGTGCATAAGACTTGGTTGTAACATTTTTGCACTACATACACTTTAATTACTTGATAATACATTTTAATATTCACTGAGGAGCATCTGTGTACTGGGCGTGAGTGGGGTACGATGGTTTATTTAATTGTTTGCCACGCATAAAGCTTATTTATACAGTGGGGAAGAATCCCACCTTTTCTGCACTAATATTTACTTGACATGCTGAAGCGACTTATTTTCTGCCATGCCTGGTTAACTAATGTGTTTTTTATATATACCGTGTCCATAAGGAGAAGGGGGGGAAGTCGAGTAGATTATTCCTCTGAATTATGTCTGTCTTAAGGGTTTTGATACCATTTTTGCTTGTACATAAAACAGGAGGGGAAAGTATTTGGTCCTGTAAGAGTAAACACAGTTGTCTCGTCTTGCAATTGTGTGACAAGCATCAATTTAGGATTTCTTACTTCCTCTTCCTTGTCCTGTAGAGTAGGGGTAGGAGAGGAAGTGGGGTGCAGCACTGAGAACTGCTCCCACCCAAGTCTCATCAAAATGAAATTAAAGTTGTGCAGCCTTAATGCAAGAGAAGTTTCCCAAGAGGCTTCCACGGGACACGATCCTGGCAGATTGCGCTCTGGGTGATTACGTACATAGCACATTGGAGAGGGGAGGAATTGCCTCTCTTTCCACCCCTCCCATCTCTCTCTCATCTTCTTTTTAAATTTAATGCCAAAATGTTAGCCAAAGAGATCCTTAATCTTGATTCAGCATTTCTGTACATACATAGTTCTGCACACTCTGCCCCTCCACCCCCAGCAGACAGGAGATCAGCGGCTTCCAGTTAGAGACTCTGCAGTCATTATCTCAAGTGGATCTGGGGTTTGCAGCTCTCTTACCAGTCTTATTGTGGGGAAAGTAGATAGTCTCTGTCTGTCTCGGTCATCTTTGAAATATTGACCCTTTTTAAAATGGGAGAGAAAGAGAGAGAAAAGAGAAATGTATAATTTTATCCCATTTTTAATATTTTGGTGTAGCAACTTGTGATATATAGACGATTTTTTGTGGGTTTTGCAAATGCGTGTACAGATTTTGTAAATACGAAACCTTTTGTAATTTTAACGCCATGTACAGTGTAATCCTGTATAGTTTACCAACGAATGGGAAATAGGGAATTTTAGGATGTTTAACTAAACGTTTTGGATCCTGGACCAGTAGCAGGGATAAGTGTGCGTGTGCGTGTTGCGTATATTTGTGGGTATGGGTGATCTCCTTTTCTCCATTTAGTCTTCCTGTATACTGTGACATTCTATACTGTTTTACTTAAAAAGAAATAAAGGAAGCCCCACTGAGAATTTAATGGATTTCAGGAAAACAGATTTTTGTTTTACCTTTATTTCTAGATGTTGCTCTTCTTCATAATGTACTGTTCCCCCGCCCATGATCATTGCTTGCTGAGAAAATCCCCCAATTCTTTCCTTTCTAACATGAATTCTGTTTTTCATAAGCCTCTTGTAAATTATATGAAATGAATAACTAGCATGTACATTGAAAGGACAAATAAAATGAGTCTCAGTTACTGTGTTGTTTAAATACAGTTGCTGAGTGTCTGTATTTTGCAATTAATGATGAGTCTTTGATTTGTTTCCCACCATTGATCCTATGTTTATTCTTTGAATTTTGTGTCCTCATCCAAGAAACTCATGATTCCTCCCTTTTACTATATCCTTGGAATAGCCCGCTGAAAGATAGTGATAGGTCCAAGGTCACCCTGCAAGCCCTTTGTGGATAAGTGGGGTGTTTGAATCTGAGTTTCCCCAGTTGTAAAATAACACTGCAACCACCACACCCCACTAAACAGCATCCAGGAGGCAGGGCACTGCAATGGACCTGGCAGTATTGCAGAGTGGCATCTACCTTAATATTTGTAGGGCATGTTGAAGGAAGGAGAAAGTATAAAAGGTCTGCTGGATGGAGCCTACCAGCGGCTCAATGAACTACCTGTGTTCGCTGGAAAATTTTATCGGCGGCTGCGTTTATTTTGGTGAGCCCCATCTTCCCCTGAATCAGTGTTATTGGAACATTTCTTACCCCAGCACATTACATTTGCTGAGGTTAAAAAGATAAATACACCAAATACAGGGCTTTGGCTGGAATTTGGGGGTCTTTTGTCCAAAAAATTTCTGAAATGTGAACTGGGGTGGTATTACTGCACTGAAAGGCTGAAAGATACTGTATTATCTGACTGAAAGATGGGGACATGGCTTTCTACCGTGCAGGATGAGAGGTTGTAGGTCAACTTCTGTGTAATTTCTACAGTGACAAGTGCTCCTGGTGTAGATACTAACCCCATTTTTTGATTGAAGGTTAAAGTGTAATGCTGTATATATGAAAGGTATATAGCAATCCATAAATGTAAACAACAGAAATCTGCCTTATACAGAGTCAGATCATTGGATCATCTAGCTCAGTATTGTTTACACTGGCTGGCAGTGGCTCTCTAGGGTTTTGGACAGAGGTCTCTCCCAGCTTTACCTAGAGATTCGGGGGACTGAGCCTAGGACCGTCTGCATGCAAAGCAGATGCTCTCCCACTCATCTGTGACTTTCCCCCTAACTAATCTGAGTTCCCTAAGCAGTCAGTATTGTCCCTTAAGTATTTCCACAGCATTTTACTTACAGACAAAGCTAACCTCTTCAAGAAATCTAATACCATAATCTTTTAATCCCTACCAATTGCTTGGCGGGCTCTTCAGGTGTGCAACTTCAGTAGGAGTGAAAGATAAATATTTGGATGGAGAACATGCAAGATTCTCAGCGAAAGGGTATAAGTCTGCTTGTGGACATAGTCAAGAATGAAAATGCAAAACAAACCCCAGCCTGATTAAGAGCAGTTGTCAGTCACTTTCTCATACTTCATAATAGTGTTTTAATAACATAGGAACAATGTGAAAATATGCCATATACTAATTCAGACCATCTTTCCACCTGGCTCAGTATAGTCTACAGTAGTAACTCTCCAGGGCTTCAGGCAGGGGAGATTCCCAACCCTACCTGGAGATGCTGAGGATTGAATGGCACTTTCTGCATGCAAAGCAGATGTTCTAGGATGGAGTCTTCCACAATTCAAGCAGTCATCTTTCAAAGTAAAGGGAGCTGTACCTTTGACATGCATACGCAACAGTGCAATGGCGTACATCAACAGCAACTTACCGTATTTTTCGCTCTATTGGACGCACCGGACCACAGGACGCACCTAGTTTTTAGAGGGGGAAATCAAGGAAAAAAATATTATTCCCCCCCAGCCCCAAAGAGCAACGGACAGGCTGCACGCAGCCTGTCCGCTTCTCCCAGACCTTCTCGGGGCTGCGGGGGAAGCCCGGGCCCCCCCCCCAGCCCCAAAGAGCAAAGAAGCCAAGACAGCGCGCGGGGTCCATAGCCGCACAACCTCTCCAGCCAGGAGCTAAACCTCTCCAGTGCAGCTAAAGAAGAAGACAAGGCAGCAAGCGCGATCCATCCCGCTCGCTGCCTTGGCTTCTTCTTTAGCCTTGCGCAGCATCTTTAGTCTTGCGCAACGGGATGGATTGCACATGCTGTCCACCGGGGCTGGACTAGATGACTCCTGGGGTTCCCTTCCAACCCTGCAATTCTATGACCTCGGAAGGTGTTTGGGGTCTCCACCACTGGAGGCTTTTAAGCAGCGGTTGGGGGACCATCTGCCTGGCGTTCTTTAGCTGTGATTCCTACATTGTGAGGGGGCTGGGCTAGATGACCCTCGGGTGGACCTCCCAACTCTATACAGTCCTACAGTTCTGCGGCAGGAGATCCACAGCCACTTCACACAATGCCCACTCCCAATTTTCATTGGAGAGACATGTGGCTTCACTGTCTAGGTAGGTACCCCCCTACCTGCCACACTTCCCCCACCCCACTTAAGCTGGGGGGGGAATCCGCTGAAGCCTCCAGCAGCGGAGGATCCATGGTCCCCTTCCTTCCCTCCTCCGTAGTTGCTTTGAAGGAGGAAAGTGGGAGAGGAGCTGCTTACACGAGTGTAAGCTGCCCCCCTCCCACTTTCCTGCTTCAAAGCAATCACGGAGGGGGGAATCTGCTGAAGCCTCCAGCAGCGGAGGATCCATGGTCCTCTTCCTTCCCTCCTCCGTAGTTGCTTTGAAGGAGGAAAGTGGGAGAGGAGCTGCTTACACGAGTGTAAGCTGCCTCCCTCCCACTTTCCTGCTTCAAAGCAATCACGGAGGGGGGAATCTGCTGAAGGCTCCAGCAGCGGAGGATCCATGGTCCTCTTCCTTCCCTCCTCTGTAGTTGCTTTGAAGGAGGAAAGTGGGAGAGGAGCTGCTTACACGAGTGTAAGCTGCCCCCCTCCCACTTTCCTGCTTCAAAGCAATCACGGAGGGGGGAATCTGCTGAAGCCTCCAGCAGCGGAGGATCCATGGTCCTCTTCCTTCCCTCCTCCGTAGTTGCTTTGAAGGAGGAAAGTGGGAGAGGAGCTGCTTACACGAGTGTAAGCTGCCTCCCTCCCACTTTCCTGCTTCAAAGCAATCACGGAGGGGGGAATCTGCTGAAGCCTCCAGCAGCGGGAGGATCCATGGTCCTCTTCCTTCCCTCCTCCGTAGTTGCTTTGAAGGAGGAAAGTGGGAGAGGAGCTGCTTACACGAGTGTAAGCTGCTCCCCTCCCACATTGCCGCCTCAAAGGGAACCCGGGAGGGGGGAATCTGCTGCAGCTTCCCCACCTCCCGCAGAAGCCGCACGCTCTTTAAAAGGCGGTGCGGCTTCGACCTGGTTTCTGGAGGTGGCGGATTCCCCACCTCGTAAGAAAAGCCTGCAGAGCCGCACAGCCTTTAAAAGGGCCCGCTCTTGGGGGGCTTTTCCCCCAGGAGGAGAGGACTGCTACAGCCAGTCAGCCCCTTCTACCCTCCTGCAGAAAGCCCGCAAGAGCGCACGAAGCTTTGTTGCGGCTCTTGAGGCTTTTCCCGCCGCCTCCCCCTGCATTCGCTCCATAGACGCACACACATTTCCCTGCTTTTAGGAGGAAAAAGTTGCGTCCTATGGTGCGAAAAAAATACGGTTACTTGCTTTCACCACAGTCACTCAATGTGTTAGCAATTGGATCGATCACAGAGCTCATGAACAAAAGCTGCGCGATTGCGTGAATTGCAGAAGAGCGACCCCTACAATCCTATTACTTCCTCATGCAGGCCATTTCCTTCCCCCCTTCAGCTGGTCTGGTCCTGTGGGGTAGTATGGTAAGCTGTTCCAGTTCCCTTGGTGTTGTTTGTTCTCTTTCCCTCCCTGCTGCCCTGCTCTTACCATCAGCCTAGCTCAGTATCACTTCTTCCAGGAACAATTTCCCCCTAATTTGAAACAGATTTTTCTCTGCAGTGAAATAATCAAGCTGTGATCAGATTTTCAATTGCTGGTGCTAGCCTGTCTTCCTGAATAAAACCTTTGTTCTATATTCAGTATTGATAGGGTCACGGTGGGGATTTATCACTTTCAAACAATGATTTGAAAGATGGTTGCGGGTTTTTACTTTCGCTAAGTGCTTACGGCAATGAATATATTAGGATTCCTCACCGAGTTCAAATAGAAACCAGAGAGATATCAAATGGGTCTGCAGCAAAATGATGCAGTGAGGGTGTGTGTGTGTGTGTTCGCGCGCGTGCGTGCGTGAATGTGCCAACCAACCAGCCACACCCTCTTTGAAGATACTCTCTTCTGTTCCTACTCTTCCCCTGAACTACTGCATTGGTGTCGGATCTGACAAAGAAAATGCCTTCTGCTGTTTTGAATGAGATTTGTGTTTCTAGAGTCCAGTACACTTCTCAATTTGTGCCTTAGCCCTGAGTGACTTTTTAAGACCAGAAAGGGAGCCGACTAATTGTACAATCCAAGGGATCTGTCTTCATTTTGCCCCATATTTATATACAGGTAAGTAAAGTAGTGACTTCATTTACAAATCACAATAAACCATAAATCATAGCTTTTAAAAAGCTGTAGTTCAGAGGCTGGGCATCTGCTTTGCATGCAGAAGGTTGCGAGTTGAATCCCCAGCATATCCAAAGAAGGCTGGCAAAGACTCAGTGTTTGAAACCTTGGAGAGCCACTGCCAGTCAGTGTCGGCAATACTGAGTTAGGTGGACCAATAGGCAGCTTCCTGTGTCAGGGTATTTCCCAGTGTCAGCGAAGGACCAGAGATTGGTGGTAGAGAACTTTCTTTTCATGCAGGTTCAATACCTGGCATCTCCAATTAGGACTGGGAATTGTCTCCTGCCTGAAACCCTGGAAAGCCACAGAGCCAGATAGGGCTGGGAAAGATTCTTGCCCCAAACCCTGAGAAAGTGCAACTGTGAAATGCATATGCTGAACCTGGCCAAGATCGGTTTTTAGAACATGTGTGATGTACAGGATCCAGGATCTAATACACCATGATCTTTTAACATCTGCTGCAAGCTGAGGCTCCCAGCGTGGTGTAGTGGTTAAGAGCGGTAGACTCGTAATCTGGTGAACCGGGTTCGCTTCCCCGCTCCTCCACATGCAGCTGCTGGGTGACCTTGGGCTAGTCACACTTCTCTGAAGTCTCTCAGCCCCACTCACCTCACAGAGTGTTTGTTG